GGGCTCTTTTGCATCCTGTCGCTTTTCCACCTTGAATGGACACTCCACCTTTGAGCCTCACGATATGAGACACATCTTTGGATACTAGAGACAACACTTTGGAGGGAATTGAACGTATTGTGTCCGTTCATGTCTGTTAACTAAGATAGCGTGCATGCAAAACATTTTGGGTAGTAATCAGTCCGTGCCATAACTTGGCTCTTGTTCATGCTTGAGATACTATGCATTCTCACAAGTACACATCCTCTTGCAGCAAAAAACATTGCTATTATCTAGATAATCAGCTGCCAATGTATCGATCAGGTCTGCTGAAGTAAGCTGTCAAAGTCCGGACTGCTTCCTCCGGCAAGGGAGTTTCCGCTCGGCCATGGGATTTGCAAATTCCCATGTTGCTCCCTGCTCTGGGGGCATTTGGCCCAGCTCCGATCCCAGGTCAGGCGAGCGAGTGGGCCTAAGCCGACTCTGATTAGCGGACCGTTCCCACTAAGGCACTTTACCAAGAGGCTGCCGCACCACTAGATCTCAGCGGCCCCTCCTACGCATCATCAGCAGGTCTGCGCTAACTTGAGACGACTTTCTTCCTTATCCCGTCGGGTCCCTCTTTCGCTCCTCTTCCCGTGCCGCCTTTGAACCTCACATACCAACCAACCTACTTACCTACCTATACCCTAGGTGAGGTCTCGAATGCCAGTCATGGCGGCTTGAACCTGGTTTGCCGACCCAAACTCTAGATAAAGTCAAAATCACTCTACTTCCAGGTAGTCTGCATCATCGCCGCGCTTCTTTCCACTTCCCGACCACCTAGCTGAAATGCTCCCGCCATCGCAAACATGGGCGAGGACCACGAAAACGGCCCCAGTGAGGAACAACCTCCTCCTCTGCCTCCACGGCCCTCGATGGAATCGAACGCGTCGATAGATTCGAGAATGGCCATGGCAGCCGCGACTACCGCAATTACGCCTCTCGATATTCAGACCCTGTCATTCCCAGATGGCTCCCGCGGCACTTTCTCAACCCCAGGCAGCAGGGCGGTCTCGACCCCCGTGCAGTACTCGACAAGCGGCCAAGCCACTCCAACGAGGACGCTGGGCGAAGGCGAAGACTCTATGAGCATCGCCAGCTTTTCCCCGACCCTGCGGCCGCCCAACGACATTGCAAGTTTGCTGATGGGGGAGTTCAACAAAAGAAGCCCGGCATGGAACTTACTTAGGTCGCAATCGGCAACGGTGCCGCCCTTCGAAACCTTGAGGATGGACAATACAACCCGTAATCTGGCTGGGTTCGATCACGAGTTTGACGACCTACCCGACGAGGCCGACACGAGTTTTAAAGACGAAGACCGAGTCACCATGTGGAAGGCAAAGTTGAAGCACTACATGATTCTTTCGTCGGCGGGCAAACCCATCTACAGTCGTCACGGAGATTTGGGACTGATCAACTCGTCTATGGGCGTCATTCAAACCCTCATATCTTTTTATGAAGGGGCCAAGAACCCCTTGTCCGGCTTCACTGCTGGAACTACGCGATTTGTTGTTGCAACACAAGGGCCCCTCTACTTCGTCGCTATCAGTCGGCTCGGCGAGAGTGACTCACAACTGCGAGCGCAACTCGACGCACTTTATATGCAGATTCTATCGACACTGACGCTGCCCACGCTGAAGAACATTTTTGTACAACGTCCATCGTCCGACCTGCGGAAACCACTTGAGGGAACTGAGCCCCTGATTTCGTCCCTTGCCGATAATTTCACAAAAGGCTCCCCGTCAGCACTGCTTGGCGCATTGGAATGTCTCAAGCTGCGCAAGTCTCAGAGACATGCCATCAACAATGCCTTCCTCAAGCAAAGGACAGACAAGCTTCTGTACGGCTTGATCGTAGCCGGTGGTAAGCTGGTCAGCGTTATTCGACCACGTCGCCACTCTCTGCATCCTAGCGACCTCCAACTCATTTTCAACATGCTGTTTGAATCAGGTGGGATCAAAGCCGGCGGCGGAGAAAATTGGATCCCCCTATGTTTGCCGGCCTTCAACAACCGTGGGTACTTGTACATGTACGTCAGCTTCTTCGACGGTGTCGACGGCGATCAAGCTACGGGACACGAGGCACCGGTGCGCAAGGACGAAGAACTCGCCATCATTCTCATTAGTCCGGACAAGGAGTCCTTCTTTGAGCTCAAGCAAATGCGCGATAACGTCGCTGCTTCCCTGGCCAAGTCGGGCCACCTCTCTCTTATACAGACCGCCGCGCGTGCTGGACGGCCAAAGACCACAGACATTACCCCTGGTGGTCAAATATCCCACTTTCTCTACAAATCACGCGCGAATGTGCAATTCAGCATGTCCGCCCTCGATCCCGTATTCTCCTCCCTGATGGCCCGTCGCCGCCTCATGGGCCTATATCATCAACTACACGCCGCTGTTCACGCGAAACACTCCCATATGCGCGTTCTACATTCCGTCTCCGAGGATGCCACTTCTTTAGCCTGGATCACACCGATATTCGAATTTTACTGTGTAGCCGGCCCCAATGTGAGCCGTGCCGTACTCACACAAGGCGCCAATAAGGTCATTCAGTGGGCCCGCCGCGAGGAGGAACGGGTTTTCATCATTGGCGGAGGCGTATTCTGATCCAGAGAAACGAGATAGCCCCTGAATCTTCGGGAACACTTCATACGCTTGGACTGATTAGCTATTAGCTATTAGAAATTACGTGAGCTGGCCCTTAGTGGCCATGCTGACTGAGAGGGAAAGCCTCTCTCGACAAATTACTTGGGTATCAATACAATGATGACTCTACAGTCAAAGCCATCTACAGTGTCCACCACGCCTCTGGGATCTTTGTAAGACGAACAGTCGCCAATGTCGAGCGTGATTCACCCGCCGCCGCCACCGCCATATCATCGGCATCGGTTCGATCCATGTCCTTCTTGTCCGAGTCCACATCGAACTTCTGCTCACAAGCGCCGCTCGACGTCTCCTTGCCCACCGTAGCAGCAGCAGCAATCTCTCTATCCTCTTGCCACTCCGCCCGCTCAACCGCAAACCCCAACTCATCACCACAAATCCGACACCGCGCCCTCCCCTTGCCCTTCCTATCCTCCTTCTCCCTACCCTCCTTGCCGAAAAGCCTACTCAGCAAATCCACCGACCGCGCCGCGAACCCAGCCATCTTCCTCCTCCGTCGTCCGCACTTCTGGCGACACCCGCCGCTCTGGTGGCACCACGGCACCTTGGGCAGCACCAGAAGCTCCTCCTTTTCGGCCTCTTCCTTTTTCTTCTTCTTCTCCTGTTTAGTTTGTCTCTTGCTCTTCTTCGGCTCGGGCGGGAAGACGCCGGCGGGGCAAGGGTCATCAGCCGGCTGCGGCGGAGGCGAAGACCGAGGAGCTTCGGGTTGAAGGAAAATACCGGGAGCATCGTGGCCCCGACCTCGTGCTCCATTCACCCATCGAGCATCGCCGCCCCATGGGCCAACACCGGGCAACGGCGCGGATTCCCCCTTCTCCTTCTTCTTGTTCTTCTTCTGCTGCTTCTCCATCTCCCTCTTCCGGATCTCCTTCTCCTTCATACGCTTCTCCATCTCCATCTCCTCTGCCTTCTTCTTCTCGTCCTCAGAGGGCGCGGTACTACTCTCCCCCTCCTCGTCAGACTCCCTAACCATCTTACGGACCGTCATGATCTCAGTCTTCTCTTCGGCCCCCGACTCGGATGAATGGACCGACGACGACTGCGGCAATACATACGTCTTGTCAACGGAGTCGTCCGCCATTCCATCCGTTATGACGCTATCCTTGCGCTCCACGGGATCATCCGCATCCTTCTTCTTAATGTCCTTGGTTCCGCTATACTCCATATGAAAGAGTTGAACCCCGGGGAGACTAGTATACTCCCCCATCGCCGAAAATGATCGCGACGAGAGGTGTTGGGCCGGATTCTCGAAGAAGGAAGGGTGTTGGATGACTAGGGGGAGACGGTCCAGCGGCGACTTGAGGTTCTTCATCTCGGAGAGGGAGGAGATCATTGCTGGTTTGGGTTTGGGTTTAGTTGCGGAAAGCAGGGAAGGAAAGGATGAAAGGAGTAGGTTTGCCGGGCTACGATGCGGATTGAATCGTCGATGGAGCTTGGTGGTGTCGTTGTTCAATGGAGCTAATGGTAGAGATCGATGGCGAGAAGCGGATGATGAAAAGCTGATGTAGCTCTAGGTGAAGTTGAGGAGGCTAAAGGTGAAGCTGAGCAATCCTGTGTGTGAAGTCAAGGAAGCTGTTGATGGGGGTTGCGTAGTAAATCTGATGATGAAGCTATCGACAAAGCTACCGATGTAGCTGTTGGTGAAGCTGATGGAGTTGATGTAGCGATAGGTGAAGCTATTGGTGAAACGAATGGCAATATTTAGCGAGTGTTCAAGTCTCGAGATGACTTTTTGGATTGTATCACGATAGTTTCTAACGAGTGTCGGTTGAACGAATGGTATGGTGGAGTACCTTAACGAATGTACGGTGGTCGCGTGGACAGTATGTACCGAGGAAACCTTGACAACGACAGATTTCCGTGGGGATAGCTCGGTTTTGTGAGGGCCGGTTACGAAAGCCATGAGAACCCTCATGGTCAATCAGCCCCTCCGTCATGTATCCCGTATACGGCCATATATGGCCGTACATGATACGGTAAAGTCAACATCATGATGCAAGCCCTCCAATTCTCGCTTAGCGCCTCCTGACCATAGCGAAATGCATTAACTCATATCGTATTTTATTGATTCTGTGAGTCTGGCCCTGATCTGGTCAAGCCACTTCACGATGTCTCGTTCTCAACAAACCGGCCATCACTCATTACGTCCCAACCAACCGCATGTATCATCTACTCGGGCCCGGGTCCACCACTTCGCTCATATCCCTCCCAAGAAACAGCAACAAGTCTCTTTTCAAGAAGCTCATGTCCTTGAGAATCAAGCAAGAAAAGCACCCAATGACGCTAATAATGATTCCAACATTTTCTCCCTGATAGCTAAGAGATGATATCGCTCTCGCTTCGCCGGCCCTTGACGCAGATGCGGACAGCTTGCCAAACCCATCTCTTCATCTTCCTTCGCACTTGTTTCGGCTGGCCCGGGGTAGCCGTGGCCCATTCACTGTGAACAACCGTCACGTCGGAGTTCGTCGGGCCGGTGAACCTGGTTGGTCGGGGTCGCCTGCCAGTGTGCTTGTTCACGCGCTCTCGAAGGTTCAAACGTGACTTGGTGAGGCGAAGCCTGAGGTTCGATAGCTTTTTCTTGAGGATCCGCGGCCGGAAAAAGGTCAAATCGGAGCTGAAGCTTCGGGAATCGCTGAGGTCAAATCCATCAGTGGACGCACTCAACCTATAGAGGTTCGCGTCAACAGGGTGCGCCAGAGGGATGTCACGCTCGTGCAAGTGCCCATCTCTGGAGTATCTTGCTGTTGGAGAGACACGGGCCGGTAGATTTTCCCCGTCACTTGGTGTGAGCTGGATAAATCGTCTTCCCTTCCGCCGGTAAGCCATGCTACTTTGGCGCTCCTCATGGCGCTCCGGGGTGAAGAGGTCTTTGGCCTGATGAGTCGGTAAGTCGGAAAGTATGCTTTGCTTGACACTGGAGCGACGTCTCACTGTGCCGCTCTGGTCTTCTGGAATTGTGTCCACATCCAAGGCCAGTCGAGATGCTTTGAGTCGAAGTTTTCGCTTCGATGGGCTTGACACCACAGCCACTTTCATTTTCGGGCTTGGTCCACCAGGATCCGCCGGTTTTTGCTCTCTCCGGGGTTGAACGACTTCGAGCTCAATGCTGGCTCGGAAAGACTCATGGTCTCCCACATCTGAATGTGCAGTAATTCTAGGACTCGACCGTGGAGTTGCGAGGATTTCGAGCTGAAAAGGTGAGAACTTCACTGGAAATCGCAAATCGTCTCCAGAAGCCTCTGAAGCTCGTCTTAGTTGAAGTTGCGCTTCTTTGGGAAGAGAGGGCAATGCCTTCATCAAGTGTGGGACACTGCTACTCGTACTCAGGAAGCGAGTCTTAGAAATTGGCGCCGGGGAGAGGAGAGAAATTTCTGTATTGGCGACTGGTGGCGCTGTATGACTTCGGAGACTTGCCGTACTGATCCGGGCAAGGGCTCGATTTCTACGGTGGCCTCTGAAGAAGGGCCTCCACTGAAGGTCAGGATGGGTTCCGCCACTTGCGGCAGCCTCATTCGCCATGTTGCCCGGTTTCAGGGGTTGATCGTGGTAAAGTTCAGCATTGAGGTCTTTCGGCTCATCTTCATAAGCCTCGTGAAGCCCAGTTGAGTCTTCATCCTTGCTCATGAATGGTGACTTGGCAATCCGCTCAAATGATGAAACTAAAGCCGCTAAGTCGGATAAGCCAGGTTCAACCGAATGGCGTAAACTCGAGCGGAGAAGCGCCGCGAGGCCACCGTGGGATGGAGCTCCTTTGGACATCCGCTCTCGATTCACAAGCTCTACTCGCGACGAGTTTGGTTCATTAGGGCCTGAGATGAGCTCTTCTGGAATTTTCCAACAGGACTCAGAGGGAGCATCCGTTAGATGTTCCTCAGCGGGACGGAAAGTATCAGCTTTAGCCGTGGTGGTATGGCCTCCATTCGCCTGCTCATGGCCACAAGTGGGATTCACGCAGTCTTCCACGTTGTCTTCGACATTTTCTTCGTCTTCAGTTTTGTCATTTCCGGTATTTGGAGGCTTTGGAGTCGCTTGAGATCGCCGGAAAGCTGTAGTATCAACGGTTTGTGATAATTGTGAAAACATGCTCGGATCAGCATCAACGTCGACAGGGCGAGAAGCCGATGTCCCATCAACTTCGAACGGAAAATGTTCCAGCGTTGGAGGGGCGGTCCTGGAGTTCGAGCGTTGTGAAGGTAACGTTTCGATGTCGTTGGCAGGTTTCCTGACTAATGCTCGACAGTCATCGCCAGACGAGTCGCTTGAGTCTTTCACAGATATGTCGACGACAGCGTCAAGACGAGCCTTCGTTTCGTCTCGAAGTACTAAGGCTTTGGTAAGGCTCGATGCTCGCTGGGGAATTGGAGCTAAAGGCAGCGCCAGGGTGGATTCCCGAGGATCTGTTTGGTGTTCCGGAGTTTCAAAACCTTCGGTGTAGTCGTAGTAGAAAGATCCTGCGGGGCGAATTGTGCGTGACAGGTTGGGTTCCGAGTTTGAGGGTGACCTGTAGTACATCTCAATGACCGAAGTCAGGCTTGAGGATCTTACACTATGATCCGTGGATGGTCGTTGTGGTCTGCTCGCAAGCTCGTTACACCACGGGTTATGGTTCCCACGATACCTGAGAGCGGATCCGGTTGGCAACACGAAAGAGTTGGAACACGGTAGAGACGGCATGGATTGGTTGATGCCGCCGCGGAACGCATTAGGGGGACCAAGTCGTTGCGGTTGTGGAAAGGTTGGCTTGTACGAGCCATGCACAGTCCTCTAGTAAATGGTGAGCTATCATCCCGCTACACTTTATGAAGAACTAAGAACGCTTACATATGAGATTCGATCTATTTCGACCATCCTACTGTAGTCAACGAGTCCATTCTCTGTGAGAGCCGGCGAAGACGGCCGGACTCCGGGGCGTTTCAATCGAGTCGGGTACGGAAACGGAGAGCGTGGTCGTTGCAAGATGCCACTACTCGAATGACTTTGGAGAGTACCAGACGACTTGTTACTGGACAATTTCCGAGAACCACATGTGGTCAGGGAGTATGAACGCTGATACGGACCATCGATTCTGGGAGAAAACGAGCTGGAGAAGGAAGATGGAGGGCCTTCTGAGCCGTACATGGATATGATCTCCGAATTGGTGTCTCTCTCAGAGCTATGCCATCGGCGTCCGGCTCTAGAGTTGGTCCGATCGCTGGCACGAGACTCAGATCTGAAGATTGTGTTAACATCGAGTCCGGTCCGTGATCTTGCGCATTGATGGATTGTAGCCGCTGGAGCTATTGGCTTGATGCTGAAGATGCCTATGTCGCCTGTCTCCGTTGTAGTCTTGAGCATGCTCTCGAGAGGACCGGGCGACGGAAGTAAACTAGCATTCTCGTTGACGCTTCTCAACGGTCGACGAGGCAGACCGTATCCAATGGGCGGTCGAGCGTGAGACTTGTAGCTGCTACGAAGCGAGCCATGGCTGGCAGAACGACGTTGAACGTGAATGTTCTCCATTTGAAGAGACTTTGGCCGGTTTTTGACACGGGCAGGACAGTAATATGAAGTATCTCTACTTAAAGGACAGAGCAAAATCGTCGGGCACTGGAGAGACCCCAAAGAGTCGACATGAAGCTATGTTGAGGCCGGCAGGCTGGCATGGCTGGACGTTGTGTCGGACAAACATTTTGGCAGCATTAGCACCGGAGTAGACGTCAGTTGACGTTGACTCCATGAACTCGAAATGGGAAAGGACGACGATGCGGTAGAGGCAGGTAGGCTCACCTGGTTCGCCACCGCAAGAGAGTACTTACCTCGTGATGATTCAAACTCACCAGGAAGGCACTCCTCCAAGTACCTTACCTTACCAGGTACCTCATAAAATACCTCTTTCCCCACTCATATGTTAGCATGGAGGAGGAGCTCCTAGCTGAGGGCTGCAACGAAGGAAGTCGCATTCTCCAAGAAGTTTACCAAAAAATTAAAAAAATTTAACATCGTCGTGGCTAGCAAGATGAGATGATGGAAGGAAAGACGGCATGAAGCTGCAGTTCGAGCATATCAAGAGCATTAGATTGTCTCTTACTGCAAGCTATCCGAACAAGCCTTGGTTGGGGCCAAGGCTTGCGAGAAGAAGACTAAGCTTGCAGTGAGTGCTCATCGCTGTCTGTTATCCGTCCGCGATGTGTAGGTGAGGGTTTCAACCTCAAAAACGAGAGGCAGGTGACCAATCGACTACCGAGTATGGATGGTCAACGACTCTTAATCCATATCTTACAAAAACGAGAGGGTAATTCACAGTTGAGTCGCTGAACCTGACAACCCTGAAGATTCGATGAATTGATTGGTCTGTCATCTAGAGGCACTTGCCTGTTTGGGTAATCATCTTGAGGATTAGTCGGTTTATGTGGTGGGTAATTTCCTGGGCGAGATTCGATATGGGATAAAGTACGGATACAATGCTCACGTTTCCTCCAGGGAACTGACATCTGTCCTTTTCGCATTTCAGCCTCATTGATGGTTGAACGACTCGGTGACGCGACAAATGGCTTGCGAGATAATATACGGAAATTGGAATACGATGCCGCCGAACGGCGCTCCAGCCAGCATGTGTCTTGTCTGACCATTTACATAGCACAAACCATGAGACGGATTCTGAAAGCTTCCTCGTCAGGACCCCACTTGCGGCGGAGCGGCCGGGTCGGAGGCAAAGATGAGATGGAGAGTTTGGGGTGACGCGGAGCATGTCAGCCGCTGCGCTGTTCGGGACACGGTTCCACTTTGCAGGCAGCGAAGCAAACGGACATGACGGAGTAGCATTTCGGGATTTATTCCGTAGAGGCGAAAATACTATCCGTAAATGTGGCGATGTGAGTACTACTTTTCGAGTCTTGTGGGCTTGTCTCTTGCAACTGAATACCTCTGCCGTCGCTCAAAAGTGTTGTCGTGGTTTCCGGCAACGCCCAACTCAAAGGTCCAGATGCAGCATCGCAGGTGCAATTATAGTTGCGTCGATATTGCCATGTTGGACCCTGGAAATGAGGCTGGGAGGTTTGACCACGGTATCCAGTAGAGCAGCGTGAGCGGTAATGGGTGGCTGGAGCTTCTCGCAGCAGCCACCTCCAATCTTTTGTCGGACTGCGAGTCGAAGCACCAAATAAGAAGCTGCCGAAACTGGCCAGATCTGGCTTAGTGATCCGCTCCACGGTAGCATTGCCGATGGATCTTGAGCCGGCAGGGCAGCTTGGCGGGTGGTGGAGTCGTTGGAATCCCACGGACAGGTCCAATGGCAAGAGGGGTGCTCCTTGTGCCGGTATGGACAAGCTTGCAAGGCAACAAATACACCGAAGAGCTTATTCTACCTACCTACTTGTACACGGCAAAACGTGGAAATGTGTCCTTTGGGACGTTAGGAAACCTTGCCGCCCCCAGGACCGACGGACCCCATTGTTGGCTGTGTCTGCGTTGCATTCCTTTCACGGTAGAGGAAGGAGCAAGAGACACAAACGGGAATGGAATAAGTCCACCACCACCACACACTCCCGTCACAACCAACCCGAGCCTGGCGCGCACTGAGTTGGTCCGGGCTGGAACTGGGAGAACATGGGATGGAGGTCGGAGAGAAGACGTGGTTTGAGGGGCAGATGTCCTGGCTCATGCTGCCTGTGCCATCGCCAGTGCTTGTGCCATGTTGAAAGCCATTCCTCGATCAACGATGTCCCGTCTGTCTCAGACCGCCCAGGCATAAGGCGGAACGCGAGGAAAGGGGGGCGGGCTGTCAATGACAATGGCCTCCGAGCGCATTTGCCCCCCGGCCTATTTCGCCTTTGAGGCTCTCGGCCTCGAAGGACTACTGACAAGCGGATCGTGGAGCTCTAGCATCTTCTTCATGCACTGGCGGAGACTTGGAAGCAGAGAGGGGACTTTGGTGTAGGCAGAAATAAGCGCGATGCCAATGTAGAAAGCTTAGGTAGGTACCTGACGATGGCAAACTGAGCTTACCTTTTCACGGCAAAAAGGGCAACCGTTCCTACCTTAGCTCAGCTTCACCCTCAAACGGCCGGAGGTCAGCCTGGCTTGATTATCAATTCACCGTAAGTTGGTGTTCCTAGCGGTCGAACGGTGGGGGGAGTGCCTGGAAAGGAGGGGAGTGGAAGCGAATTTGCCCCTCACAACCATAAGGTACCTTAGGGGCACGGGCCCGCTTGTGGATTGGGGTAAGTACCGGATCACTCGCTACACGTACTATCCCTCTAATTACACGATTGAAGAGACCTATGAGTACTTAGCCCAAAAAGAGGAGAGGGGTGGATGGGGGAACATCCACCACAGACACTGCAGCCGCCTGAGTGAATGCATGAGCTGACGGGCGGTTCCTGGAAAAAGGGACACCTGTTCTCAATTGCCCTTTAGAAATCCGGAATCCGTCTCCAGAACCTCTTCCACCATCTACTTAAGACCAAAGCCTTCCCCATTCACCACGGTCTGAAGTTAGACTTGACAGCCTCGCCTTCTCCACGAGTGTACTTTTTTTTCTTTCTTTCTTCACTGTTCATTCTTCAGATCAAAGAAAGGTAAGCTTCTTCTCAATTTCCTACTCACTCCTCAAGCTATCACCAAGCTTCATCGGTCGCCTCAGGTAGCAGCAAACGGTCGCCACCGCTGCAAAATCACAAAACAGCTCTACCGTTGCTGAGGCTTGATTGAGTCTCCAAGCCTTCTTGCTTCTACGAATCACCCAGACCATCGCCACTCTCTGAGATAGCATCACCAATCGCTTGTACCAAAGCTAACATTTCTCCTCACAAGATCAAGATGTTCTGCAAGCGTGTCGCCCTTGGCCTTTTGGCCGCCGCTGCTGCGGTTTCCGCCTCCGATGTTGCTCAGTTGAAGAAGGATGACTTCGCCGACTTCATCAAGACCAACGACCTCGTCCTCGCTGAGTGTGAGTCTCCCCGTTAGCCCAGCTCCCTTCGAGCCGAATACATACTGATCGTGGACCTCTAGTCTTCGCTCCCTGGTGCGGTCACTGCAAGGCCCTCGCTCCCGAGTACGAGGAGGCCGCCACCTCTCTCAAGGAGAAGAACATCAAGCTCGTCAAGGTCGACTGCACTGAGGAGTCTGACCTCTGCCAGGAGTACGGCGTTGAGGGCTACCCTACCCTCAAGGTCTTCCGTGGCCCCGACAACGTCTCCCCCTACTCCGGCCAGCGCAAGGCTGCTGCCATCACCTCCTACATGGTGAAGCAGTCCCTGCCTGCCGTCTCCATCCTCACTAAGGACACCCTTGAGGAGTTCAAGACCGCCGACAAGGTCGTCCTCGTCGCCTACATCGACGCCGCTGACAAGGCCTCCAACGAGACCTTCACCAAGGTCGCCGAGAAGCTCCGCGACACCTACCTCTTCGGTGGCGTCAACGACGCCGCTGTTGCTGAGGCCGAGGGCATCAAGGCCCCTGCCATTGTCCTCTACAAGTCTTTCGATGAGGGCAAGGCCACCTTCACTGAGAAGTTCGACGCTGAGGCCATTGAGACCTTCGCCCAGACCGCCGCCACCCCCTTGATCGGTGAGGTCGGCCCCGAGACCTACTCCGGCTACATGTCTGCTGGCCTTCCCCTCGCCTACATCTTCGCCGAGACCCCCGAGGAGCGTGAGGAGCTTGGCACCGCCCTGAAGCCCATCGCTGAGAAGTACCGCGGCAAGATCAACTTCGCTACCATTGACGCCAAGGCGTTCGGTGCTCACGCCGGCAACCTCAACCTCGCCACCGACAAGTTCCCCTCTTTCGCCATCCAGGAGACCGTCAAGAACCAGAAGTTCCCCTTTGACCAGGAGAAGAAGATCACCCACGATGACATCGCCAAGTTTGTTGAGGAATTCTCCTCCGGCAAGATGGAGCCCAGCATCAAGTCCGAGCCCATCCCCGAGTCCAACGACGGCCCCGTCGCTGTTGTTGTCGCCAAGAACTACGAGCAGATTGTCCTTGATGACAAGAAGGATGTCCTGATTGAGTTCTACGCCCCCTGGTGCGGTCACTGCAAGGCTCTGGCCCCCAAGTACGAGGAGCTTGGTGAGCTGTACCAGAAGTCTGAGTTCAAGGACAAGGTCGTCATTGCCAAGGTTGACGCTACTGCCAACGACGTTCCCGATGAGATCCAGGGCTTCCCCACCATCAAGCTCTACCCCGCAGGCAACAAGGATGCCGCCGTCACCTACTCCGGCTCCCGCTCCATTGAGGACCTGATCGAGTTCGTCAAGGAGAACGGCAAGTACAAGGCCGAGGTCTCCGTCAAGGAGGAGGGCGCCGAGGAGAGCCAGGCCGCCCCTGCTGCCACCGAGAAGGAGGCTGAGAAGGTCAAGGAGGATGCTCACGATGAGTTGTAAAATAATTCTGGGTTCATTATGAAGTGACACTTTGGGACGTCCCATGGGATAGGGACTATATACCTCTTGCGCGTTAGGTCGACTCTTTGCATTATGGTCTGCGGGTAAATTAACGTTATGAAATTCGAGCACATGTCTAAACATTGTCCCATCTACTAAATGAATCGTGACCTGGAGCCTTTCTACTTGAATGTTCGAAAAATCTACGAGAAAATTTATCGTATGTAGACTGACTGGGGATGACTGATCAATACCGCAAGACCGAGAGTCGTACACCACCCCTGCCTACTACTTGCTCAAGGGTAGTCACAGATTCTCGTACAAAGCTTCTCGGTCTCAGTCGCCGAGCATGTTGTTTTATGACTCTCCCCAGCACAGTCGCTTTTCACGCCGCAACTTTCGATGATATCACTGGCCTTCTAAGGTTGTAGCAAGAGCCTGCTCTTTCGTTCCCGTTGCATGATATCGTTCTGAGGCTTGCTTCAGAAGTCGTAGCAGATTGAAAAAGCCTGGGGATAACAATATAGGTGGACGTCGTTACTTTGAGATAAGGGGGGCAACGAAGTCACTTCACCTCGGAAGATTCCTCAAAATTGTGCTCGTTTGTGTATGGGAAGTGTGGCATCTTGATGTAATGGACGCCTGTGCCGGGTGTTTTGCTACGACTTTGGGGCTGAAGATGAGTCTTGTCGGAGTCGCTTACTCCACCTAGATGTGAATGGGCGGCTATCGGGAAGACGAACCGCGGGTTGAGTATTGTGTATATGTATACATACACCTCGGAACGTAAATATCTAATTAACCTCAACAACGTGCGTTGTTCCCTTTCGTGGCCCGGCGTATATTTGCAGAGGCTTTGTATGGAAACGCTTAGCAGACTTCCAAATGATTGAGTATACACACACCTCATGAGAATATTTCTTGCCCTCCTTGTTACTATTTCCAAAACGTCTGCCGGTTGTGCGGTCCATTACTGACCGAGTGGAAGGGAAATAAAAGGCAAGAAAAGAAAAGGGGGCTGCTGATGAGTTCTGGGAGGCCGTAATCGGTGGAAGTTGGGCCCTTCGCTCTGCCTTTCTCCTCGCTGGTTGCTTCACTCGGGGATACCCATGAGATCTGTTAATCAAGGTAGATGAAGTACCTATGTAGGTTGGTTTATTCCCTTCCCAATGTCTCAAGGACGACAGGACCAAAGAGAAAATGACACTGTATGCATAGTCGGGCTTGAATGGTTGTAAGCTCCCCCAAGTTCTTGTAGTGCTGTGATACCTATGCTGCAGCTTGCAGGTCTAATTTGCAGACAATCTTCAAAACCTGCCATCTTTCGTCGAAATATTGGCAAGTTACGAGATACTATGCCCGTCTGAATGATCCCAGAGCAAAGTATCAAGCCATAGTTGCTTTTGCTTGTCTGTGAGATGGCATGAAGTTCGAGGGGCTGAAAGGTAGAGAAGTCACCGAACTTGTAGGACCGAGTGTTGGACTTCCAGCCAAGTCTTGACCGAAAACTCCCTTGACTTTATTCATAATCTACACTGCGTACGAGTACATGTTCTGTCAAAATGCGGGAGGCGGCAATTTACCGAAAGGAGGATATTTTCAAAAAAACAATCATCATCATTGTGAATAAGTTGGAATCAACAGCAGAGGAAATTAAAATAAGAGAGAGAGAAAGATCAAAGAATACAATGAGACCGACCTCCCACTTGAGAACCTGATAATCTAAAAGAAAAGAAAAGAAAAAAAAAACCAGCGGGGGAAGATTGTCCATTGGACTTAATTGAGGGTAAGACAATCTCAACCTTTGCGCCAGGGATTTTCATCCGAAGGCGAAGAGATGAACTGTTGACAACACGGATGGTCGTTCCGTCATATGGCCATTTTGCAGTCCTCCAATGGAATCAACCTGGATAGCTGTCTGAACGGTGAATGGAGCTCAGACAAGTGGCTTGTCGAAAACTTCTTGGATTGCACAAGATGCCAAACCTAAGAGGAAGCGATTGAAGGGAAGGCTGTAGTCAAATACGCCTTGCCAGATGATGGGCCTCATCCGAATCTGCCTGACCGAGTGAAGACGAAGGAGCAGCTTATACCCTTGAAGAACGTACAACGGCAAAGAAACGCGCTTGAGCATGTACTCCCAAGAACTCCGCGCCTGGCAAAGCATATTGTTACAGTCTTGATATACACAAGCCCATCTCAATCTCGACTTCCACGACACGTTGTACACACCGTTACCGCCGAATCGGAAGGACCTCACGAAAGAGAAGAAATCGGACGTTGTTTGGAAAAATTCCGGTCGTAACCATTGTGCTGTGCTGCTTTTTTGTGCTGTTTTCGCCTCGAAAAACCTCGACCGTCCATTACCACGGCGTCACCCTCGGCCATTCGATTCCTCGTCACACTCCCGTCATCCTCCCTACTTTTCTCAGTTCAACAAACGCTGCGACCTCCACGTTTACTTCCTCTTGCGCTCAATGGCGTCCATCTTCTCTTCCAATACCTCGACGTACTTGCTCACGCGCTGGACGGCGGCCTGAAGTGCCTATAGTAACAAGGTCTGATTAGCTTTCTGAATATTTGTGCAGGGTCTGTGGCGGTGATGAATGGTATCCCCAGGGTAGTGAGAGAGCAGAGGAGGCGAGGATGGTCGCGCAGTGTTGTAGCGAGAGAGCGCCGGGGGCGTTCCGGTGCAGCGCACAAGACGCAAACGACGCCACGACCAGGACTTCTAAAGAACGGAGGAGAGACCAGGGTGATAGACGCGGAGAGACTCGGGGGATAGCTGGGAAGGTAGATAATGAGATGTAATGACGCACGTAGATATCCTCTGTCAAAAGCTCGTTGGAGGTCTTGTATTCTTGGAGGATGTAAGAGTAGACACCGGCGCCGGCGACGGAGCTGCCGAGGAAGAAGCCAAACAGACTGTTAAAGGTTCGATTCGTTAGCAAAGACCTCATCATCTTTCTTCGAATAGACATGGGCCGGTTTTCGGCATCCTAAAGCCCTCACGGGACCCAATTGGGTCCCGTGGACCAGACACAGGAATAGCTGCCCCAAAGGAAGAGGAGAAGACGAGAAGCTCAAGACGTACCCTCCACGGAAAGCACCGACGGGTTTCCGGGCCGGCAGAGGCGCGGCGACGGCGTCGCGCAAGGGCGAGGAGGTCTGGAAGTTGCGGGCGGCGCGGAGAGGGAGGCCGGAGGCGCGGGGGAGGGCGCGGGTGACGATGCGGGAGGCCATTGTGGTTTTCGGGTGATGTCGTGCGTAGAGCTCGGTTAGGGAGGGAGGATGGTTCTGTCGGGCGGAGGATTGAATGCGACCCGGTCGGAATTGGGCGCGGCGTTTGAGGATGCGGAAGGGGGAGCTCGGTCGGCTTGCTTCGATGTTGGTGATGTTGTGTTTTGTGGTGGTGGAAGAAGTTACGGGGGTTTGGGGATGGCGTAGACCAAGTTCGATGAGGTCGGGTCGGTGCTCTGGGGGCGAGGTACGGGTAATTTGGGCGGGAACCTGGAAGCTCTCTCCCAGCCGTGTTACGTCGTTCTCCCTCTCTGCGGCGCCGCTGAGGTGCGGCGCTGCAGCAGGTGAGGAGGTACCTCAGTCAGGTACCGCCTCCGCCTGCGCCGGACCAGCGAGAGCAAAGAGGGCGGGATTAGCCGGGACGCCATTGACGGTATCCTATTGGCCAGAACTGTGCGGCCGAGCAGCCGGCTTTTGCTGGGGATTGTCTGGGACTCTGGGGAGTGGCTTCATGATCCACTGAAGGGGGTTCGGGAATGCAGCTCAAGGGCGCTTTCGGCAGTTGTCGGCTTCTGAGGGCATGGAAACTTGTCACGGCGTCGAACTACCTTTTCAACGTTGATTGAATTGTTTACTCCGAACCAGGTCTGTAGGTGTTTGATCGTTGATAGTAAGTTACCGCGGCCTCGACTTACAACCTGGGGAAGCTCTCAGCTCAGTGCTTGTCTGTAACCAACAAACTCTCATTGGCCAATAATCAGCCACTCAACGTCGTCTCTTCTGATTCGCTACAAGAAAAAGTTCAAGCTCAGAGACTCTCCAGAGAGCTCCAAGGCAAACCACCAACACCACTCACTACCCATGAACCACCCACCACACTCATCCACCCACTCCAAAACCCTGCCACAACACTTTCAACCTCGAAATGAACAACTTTGGCGTCTACGAGCTCGCCAGCAACAAAGTCACAAACGCCCCGGGATGGGCCTACGTTCCCGACACGGGCCTTAACCCGGCCGCCGCCGCCCTCCAACCCGCCAACCGCAAGCGCGCCGCCCGCAGCAAAGCAAACCCTTCCGCCTCAGACCTCACCGTACGGCAAGAAGCCAAGATCCGCAAGGAGCTCGAGCAGCTGGACCGCGACGGCGGTCGTGATGCCTCGATACCCATTCCGGCCAAGGCCGCGAGAGGTATGCCTGCCCCTCCTTCCACCCCTTTTCAATGCGCCGTGGAGGCACTTTGTAGTAAAGCGCAGCATGACAGCCAAACTAACGGCGGATCACAGGCCAGAACAAGAGCACGCCAGCGATCCGCAAAATCCTCCAATCCCAAAAGACCTTCCACAACCACTGCGACGACCACCTCGCCCTCCTCTCCCACGCCGGAAACGCGCCCGTTCCGCACCCGAACCAGCACACAGCCAAACCGGCCAACAAACCGCCCCATCCGAACCAGCACACCAAGCGCAACGCCACCAAGCGCTCCAAGACATCGACGCCCAGGACGCCAGCGGAACCGGAAGACGTCGAGATGACGCCCGCGCCGTCAGTAGCGCCGGAGGACTCCGCGACGGCAACAACGGCGATGGGCCCGGTACTCACGCCCTATGAGAAACCTGGTCCGGCGCCGCATCCTGGTGACGACGATCCGCTGCTGGTATCGCGGGTGCCTGCGATGCCGACGGACGAGGAGCTCAAGTGGTTGCTTTCGCGGCCGATGTCGAGCTTTTGGGACGCGCGGGCCGAGTGGGGCGACGACGATACGCGGTATCCTGAGCGGACTTTCTGCGAGGTGTGTGGGTATTGGGGCCGGGTTAAGTGTATGAAGTGCGGGACGAGGGTATGTGCCTTGGATTGTCTTGAGACGCATCGGGAGGAGTGTTTCACGAGGTATGGTATTTAAGAGAGCGAGGGGCTTGTTGGGTATTGTGGTATGGCTTTGGTAGGAGCACACGCTATTACCATTGCCGCTCACGGTATGTTTGGATATGGGATAAGCATGGAAACTGGAATTGCGAGGCGTTATGATACCCCCCTTTGTCAAGTTTATTTTAAAAGGATGGATAAAAGTGATTTGAATTGGACGGCCTTGATCGCCAACGGGCCTGGATTTTTAACAAAGTCCTTTAGAAGGCATTTGTACAGATGCGCTTGTGTCTTACAAGCGCAATATATATATATATATATATACTGTAGAAGATGTTGCCCCTAGAAGACGGCAAACAAACTCCTATCCCGGAACCCTTTTCATCAAAATCATGAAGCCACGGCATAGAAAATGCCTATAGCAAGAAAAAAAACGAGGTATCCAAGTCCAAGTGAACAATCTCTGTGAGAAGAAAGTAAGAAAAGGAAAAACACATCAGATACGATAACATCCCCTCATCCACCGCCAGAGCACGCAAAAAAAGTGAAAGCCACGTTGGGGGCTTCCGTTGCATTTACAAGTCGTCCATGCCAAACGAGTTCTTGAGCGTAAACTCCACATCGCCGGCCGTCGCGCCGCCGGCGCAGACGGCGCGGAGGCTGCCGGTGGGGCACTTGTCGCGGGCGGCGCGGACGCACTGCTCCCACTTGTTCTTGGAAATGGTGATGCTCGCGCCCTCGACGGTGGTCTTGAGGGCGAAGCGGGCGGAGCCGGCTTGGCCGACGGTGGTTGAGGGGTTTCCGTGGCAGGCGGCAACGGAGCCGGAGATGCTGCCGCAGATGGCGAGTTCTGCTGCGTTTTGGTCGTGGAAGACGATGTGGCTAGGATTGATGTTAGTGATGATTTCATGAGGTTTACTTGAGATGAAAGGGGGGTGGTAGGATTTTATGTGAGATATCATGGATAGGATCTTGTGTAAGTGATGAAAGGGAACGTACGCGTTGCGGTCGATGCAGGTGGCTTCCACCATGGCGGCCGGGTTCACGGGCTCCTGCATGCGCATGCTGAGGACCTCAAAGTGCTGCTGGGGCACGGTAAAGCGGGGCCAGTTGTTTCTTCCGGTCGGGGCGGCGAGGGCTGCGATGGCTGTGAGGAGGAGGACAAAGGTATGGATGAGCGTGGAGAACATGGTTGCGGTTGTTGGTAGTAGAGGTTGGGTTGGTGAGAGAGATTTGGGTGTAGGTGAAACGTTCGAGGTTTGTGAGGGCTCTCAGTTGTGATGTGGGTTGGCTGAAAGCGGGATGTCGTTTCGGAGAGTTCGTTTTGGTTATGACGGATAGACAGGTCGATACTCTGGAGTTGTGAGAGACTTTCGAAGTAGCCTGGTAATCGATTGTGAGATATCTCGAGTGAGTTTGGTTTGTAAGTTTGGTGTTTTTGGTCGTCGAGACGAGGTTTGCTTTTAGAACGGAGCGAAGAAGGCTTCTTGGAAGAAAGAATGGAACAGATCACAGATCATCAAAAGTTGGTTAGAAAAAAGGAAGGCAAATGATTGTCCACAAACTGTCTGGTTTGTTTCTTTCGAAAAGAATGTGGAAAGAGAAACAAGTTTCGAACAATTCAAGTTGGAAGAAGAAGCAGAAGAAGGGGTGGAAGAGAGAATAGGGAGGACGGGCAAGCCACTAAGTAGGTTTCGCAAACAGCCATATTCACAAACCAGAAATGATTTTCCCGCGAAGCACTTTGGGCTGGTGAGTTATTACTAGGTTGCATCCGTAAGGTATTACTCTGTAAACTTCCTCACTTCCACTTGCACACCCCCTGGACCCTGGACCCCAGTCTTTGCAAATCCAAGAGCCGGCTTCCCCATGTCGCAATGAAGAGCGAGGGTCCCAGGGGGGAGGGGTGGCGCGAAACTTGGCTGACAGTATCCGCGAGAATGGCCTTGAACTTGGTAACCGCCTCTCGAAGATGGAGCTCTGAGCCCCATCCCAATATGGATCCCTGACTTCCCTTCCCAAAATCGAAAGGAAAGAAGAGGGAGCGGGCTGCGGGACGGAACAGACGTTTGTCACGTTTGTGCGTGCGTACGTTGCTTGCGTTGCGTGGATTGCGTTGCCATTTGCGTGCCTTTTGTAGTCTTGTAGGCCCGGACTCTCCATAGCCACAGGTTCTCCTCTTTCCTGTTGCCGGCCCGGTAAGGTGGGTGAAAGTTGAAACTGGGCGGTTTTTTCCACTACCCAAAGAGAACTGCGCCGGGATCGCTTCTGTGCCTTTGCAGGTATGGCCCGCTTGCCGCAGGTTTGAATATGTGCTTACCCGAGAGTCGTGAGTCGAGACTCGAGACTCGTTCGAGTAGACAGATGTGTGAGTACTCGACCTCGGTGGTGTAGTATAACTTCAAGTCCGCCACGTTCTTGTACCTGAAGGCGTTGACGGGGGCTGACGCTGTCGTCCGAAGGGGGGTTGTTCCCTATGAACCTTAGTATCATTAGAGTAGGTGTCACTAAAAACAAAGCCTGTGTTTAGTGTAGGTATAGTGGTTGCTGCCAAGAGCAGTATGGCTGTGTGAACGGATGAAACCAAAGTCTCTCTTTCTTTCTCCTGGCTAGGCATTTCTTAGTCAGTCAGCTTTCACTATGACGGTCTCTTACTCTGAGTCTCTGACTGTTTAACAGAATATTGTGGCCAGATGGCCAGGACATGGGGCGTCGTTCCCGTCCTCGGATCGCCGGTTCGCTGTTTAGGACGCCGCTGGGCGCATGAGATTCGATACTGGGCGAGTTTGCAAGGGTAACACCACATATCAACTCTAAGGCACGGGAAGGAAGGGGACCTGAGGGAAGAGAGAGGGGAGCGTTCCATCGGACAAAGCCAAGCATCGTCATTCCATCATGCCCTGCCAGCCAACTATGGGACGGTGATGGACGTAGCCGAAGGGATGATCGGACACTGGTCTGCAGCGTAAATGCAGAAGCACAGAAGGTAAGGTGGTAGTCAAAGTCCCCTGAGAGTTCCTTGAAGAGCAGGAATATTCCCAGAAGGATGGGATCTTTGAAGGAATAAGTTTCGGTGATCACTTGGCCGTCCAATCGACACGGCGGCGGTCATCCGGAGTCGCAAGGTGAAACAGGGCCAGCGCTGAGTAGGCCGCCAGCCACGCCCCCCCTCCCTCCACAGCGGCAGGCGTCCTTAGCTTATTCGTGCGGTAGCGGTCGTCGGTAGGGACTCTCTCGCAACTGCTGCAAGTAACGGTAGTCTTCGACTCTTTTCGGCCCAGGCGATAAGAGGTCACCCCACACAACCGATCACCCAATTTGGCCACTTTTCGAGACTTCGCATTCTGAACTTTATGGCGGCGAATTGGTCTTTTGGTGGCACAGCGCTGCTAAAGCTGAAATTCTGAACATATGCTGGTAAAAAAAGCTTCTAGTATACCCGACATTACTGTTAGTTCCGTGATCTGCCGCGTAGAGCGTGTTGTGACCTCCTTCTTCGTTCTTATAATAGCCTTAATTTATATAAATTGTTTATTTAGATCTTACTTAACTTTTACTTACGGTACTAGCTTTTATAATCTAACTTAAACTTCTAGTGCCTTTATAACCCCTTAAGTATTAGCTAAGGCAAAGTTTTGGGCATCTAATTGCTTACTAACCTTACTAAATATAAGACTTAGAATATTTACTAAAATTTTAAAACTTATACCTAATTAGTATCCTAAAACTAGTACTCTATGATATAAAAAATATATATTAATATCTTAATGAATATAAGGGCTATAGATATTTTATAAATATATTTAGACTTATTAATTTTCCACCATTTTAATGATATATTTATAATTTAAAAATATAGGTACTATATGAGTTACGTGCTTAAGAAGTTATATAGTAATAAGAGGCTCAACTGAAGTACGTATCTACTGAGATACAACGCTTTGTACGCACGTACAGCCCGTACGTAAATACGCTTTACATATACATGTTAAAGCGCCGGCAGGCACATATGCTCGTATAAACTTAATAATAAATGCTCGGACTTAAGCATCACATGTGATTACATGTGATTACATATAATTACATGTGATATTTATATTATATATAGACTACACTTTCCTACCATATCATAGAATAATCATCAATACAATCGATTCTCTGATTATCTCAACTCGTACCTCAACTTATTTATCTTTTCCCTTTTTGCCTACTTATAACCTCTTAGTCTTACTTAACTTCTAGTAGTCTTTTTTTTTAACTTCCGCCGTATAATTATATTATTAATGCGGCCCGAGAGCGTCGCATAGGGGATTCCTTAGTCGATAGAGACTTTCCGGATCGATTTACCCTTACAGATATCATTAACCGCGTTTTTCACTTATTCTTTCGTATAATTAACCATGGTGAATCTATTAGCAATTTTAGTATAATATTTGCGATTTGTTTTTGATTGATTTTGACGTACCTAGTGAAAGTGGTGGTGGTGGTGTTGAAGGAGGACAAAAAGTGGCCAAATTGGGTGATCGGTTGTGTGGGGTGACCTCTTAGGTGCCCATTTTAAGCCTTCTGAAACTCGACCGGTGGGGTCCCCTATCCCGGTATTCCCGCGTCTCTCCACGGCTGGCGCGACTTTGGGGGATGGGCTGCGAGCCTGCGAATACCACCTACCACAGTCGTGCAGTTGCCCCGGACTCGCCTCCCCTTTCTGGAGTGCATCTTTGGTGGTCGACGGTAGACGATAGGCTGAGAATATCTTTCCCGCCTGCAGAAAGAGAAGCTTGAGAAGCGCTTGTTTGCACTTCTGCAGGATAAAGAAGGCAACGAACGCGGGGTTATTCGATGATGATGCGGACGCGGTTCCTTGCACTGCAAAAGGCCGGCCGGAGCTTAAGCTCAGCCCAAGGTCGGGTGTTGCTTGCTTCTTCTTTCATCTCAACTATCTTGATAAACTGCTGCCGGTTAATAGGATGCGCAGCGATATAGAAGATCCCCGAGAATAGGCACAGAGTGCAATTCACTTCTAACCCCCCACCCCGCCGCTACTACTGCTGATGGTGGTCTTAACTCTTGGGTCTATGGTTCTTGTCCATGCTATTACTTACCGATCAGTCATCTGTGTATCTGGTTGTTTATCAGACACTCTGGCGAGCTTGCCCAGACTTTTGGTCTGTTAACCATATTTTTTCGTCCTTCCTTCTTCGGACTCCTCGAAATCTCCAGTCCACTGTCCAGGTTCTTTTTTCCCAGATGCCGAGTAAGCGAGGCTCCGCGTCTTCGCTTGGCCCTGGCGATCCCCGAGCTGATGATGACATACTCAATGATGCATTCTGCTCGACGGGCCCGATTCACGGATAGATATCTGATGTTGCCCACCATGCGATCCCATGACTTGCACTTGAATCGTGAGCTTTCTTCAGTCATTGAAGCGATAGTTGGTATTCGTGTCCGTAGAGTATTCATACAGTATCCGTAGGCGAAGCCGTAGTTCATGATCAACAGCCCACTTCAAAAAGTCCCCCTGGCCCCATCGATCGGCTGTCCGCCTTGCCTGGCCTGCTCTTTCTCCATGTTTCGTCCTTATTACCCCCCCCCCCCCTTGGCCCGACCTTGGTGGCCGAAGGGGATCCCATGCTGAGCCTGTCCGTGGCAAGCGTGACTTGACTTTCGGACGAACCCACCCGCAAAACTTTACTTGACGAGTTGACATATCAGTCTTACTACGTAGATGAATAAGAGCCATTTTCGTAAATTGCGTACGAGGGGTGTATATTCCCGCTTTCCTCTTTTTTGAGTAGGAAAAGCGCAGTGGAAAAGGTTTCCCAGAATAACTATTCGTCCCTGGAAAACAGATCAATCACAAAAAGCTGAGCCCTGCGCCGCCAGGAACGAGCCCTACCGCCTACCGCCTACCGCCCGTCACTTAGTCAGTTGACGAGGGTGCGGATAGTGACTCGATATTAACATGCGCTCATCGCCTCATCAAAAGTCATGACTTGTTTGCTTCCTTTTCCCTGCCCAAGAGATCCGTACATACTTTTTCTTGTCTAATTGTTTGCGAGTATACGGTGTACCACGGTTGATTAGCAACACATGCAATTTGTCATTATCTCAAACTCATCTCTTTGACTGCAAAGGTCCTGTGTCACTCCTAACCTTATCACGTCGTGAACCGATCAAACTCAGCCTTGCTTTTTTCGCTTGCTCTGCCCACAGACACCGCACACTCCAAAGTCGCCGGGGTTGAGATACTGGCTCCCCTGGCACGCGGCGCCCTCGCAGCGCCAGGCGTTCGGCACGCTTGCCGGGTCCAGCACGTGGGAGCAGACGGCGCACGTTATCGACAGGGCACAGTTGGCAAACGAGCAGACTCCACAGATGGACTCGGCCTCACTTTCTTGTCTCTCTTCGGCCGTCGTCGTTGCGGCCGCAGCTCTATTAGAATTTGGCGCTGGCATCGTCGCTGACTCCGTTGCCGTCGCCGTCACCCTCTCGGCCGATGGCGGCGCGATCGGATGACGGGTCGCTATTGACCAGGGTCCGTCTCGCGCTTCTCTCTTGATTGTGGAGGTTGCGCTCGCGATATCTAAAATTGGCGCCTCCTGATCGTCATCCGGCTCCTCCTTGACCTTGACTCGAGGAAGAACTTCTTGCTTTGGTTCCCGGATCGTCGGAACTTCCTTCTGTGATGACTTTGCTACTCGATTTTGCGGTGGCACAGTTGCAGCCTCAGCTTCGTCCACGGGCTCGCGCTTGAACTTGAGATGCGTCTGTCGCCATTGCTTCACCGACGCCTGTAACTCCTGTAGCTCATTCTGAGCGTCCTGGTCATCGGGGTTCTCGTCTTCGCAGACCTTGATCATGCCCCTGCCCTTACCATCCTTGATCACCTTGCCATCGATATCGATGGCGTCTTCGTTCTTGATGTCCGCCGGATCATCCTCGTACTCGCTTTCGCCGCTGTCCTCGTCCTTGACCTCACTCTTGATGTCTTCTTCGGGCTCCTTTTTCGGCTGGTCGAATCGTGCGAGCGCCGCTGCGGCTCTCAGTTCACGCCCACGAGCACTCCCAGCCACGCGAGGCTTCGCTTGCGTGCGCTTGCCGCATTCCAGCTTGACCTTGGTCTCCTCGTCGGCGCCCAGAGCCGTGCCGTTGGCGCCAAATTTCTTGAGGATTCGGCGCTCCTTTTGCTCCTTGTAGGACAACTTTGGCTTGACCTTCCTCTTGCGTCCACGGGATCGATATGTGCCGCCACACAGGTGTTCCGGCAGCGGTTCAGAGGGAAGTGCGACGTTGTTCTGGAACTGTCCTGTTCCCAGCAGGGCACCACGACCCCAGAGGCCTTCGCCAGAGTATCCTCGCTGCCAAAGCCCTCGCATTTGCTCGGCATAGTTGTTCCTAACGGCCCAGAATGCCCTGGAATGATTCATTTGCTTGCAGTGTGCAAGCCTTTGTCCAGTCAGCAAGGGGTCACCGAGGACACAGCAGCAGACTTACTCGTGCATCATCACCATCTGGACGTACTCAAATGGCAGCCATCGTCCTGATTGCGACTTGAGCACTAGCTGAATGATTTCACCGGCGTTGAAGTTTCTGCCGACAAATTCCCTGTTGAATTCGTACTGTTCTAGAGACATCACCGAAAGGTGGTGCTCCTTCATGATGGGTACTAAATCTGGTTAGCTGGGCCCAACCTTGAGGACAGGAGGAGCCACTCACGACATTGTGCAGCAATTCTTTCGAGAAAATCCTGGGCGATCTTTTCATCGCGACCTTCCAGAGGCTTGATGAAGATGATGCGGTCGTTTGGATGCGAACGTTTCGCATTCAGCCGCTGAATGCCGATCGGCATAGTGACACTGACAGGGACTTGGGGACAGTGTTCTCAACAGTATGAAGCGTGGAACCATGTAATTTTTTGCCTTGAGTTTGGCAGACTGTTTGTTCTTCATTGAGTATCAGTAATACCTGGAGTGGAATACTGATGAAAAGGAGTGATGCGTCTAAGACCGGACGTGACGAGGGGCAAAAGACGGCAGAGCGGGAGTGACGCGCAGTCACGTGCCCCACTTTCCGAGCGTTTTGGTGGCCACCACTCGCCTGGACCTGGGCAACACGGCTGCCTGAGTTAACGTACGTCAGGAAAGAAGCAAGTGTTTGTGCCATGTAACTTTTGTTTGTTCAGCATTTCTATTTTCCAAAATTATTTGCATCTTTCTGCTGAAACGATCATCGTCTTCTGGCACCACCGGCAGCACTAGCGTCACCTCTCTCGGCGAGGGACACAACTTCACTAATACCAGCGGCCTCCTGCTCCTCCTCCAACGCCGTGATCTCCTCTCTGCAATCCCACCACTTCTCCTCACTGAGCTCAAAGGCCTTGGCTTTGATCTCCTTGATGGCGAGCGTCTCCGGTTGGATGTTATTCCAGCGAAGGTTGGTCATTAGAATCTCCTGCCACTCGTTCGTGGTACGCACGAAGAAATCACGTCTTGTCTCGAAGGGCTGTGATTTGTTGGTTAGCTTGATTGAAATCTCGATGATAAGTGCCGATAGAGCTCACTCTTGGGTGCGGGAGACCGTCATCGACGGTTTCGGTCGCCTCTGTATCGTCGTCCTCTGTCGCGCTCGTAGCAGCAGTCGAGGAGGTTGCGTTGGTCGTCTCCGAGCCGGCAACGGAGGTCTCGTCGCCCTGCTTCTTCTTGCGCTTGCTCGGCGTGTAGAACTGCTTCTTGTCCTCCTCTTCCATCTCGATGTCTCCTTCTTCATCTTCATCGTCTTCGTCATCTTCGTCGTCATCCTCATCATCATCATCGTCTTCGTCCTCGGACTCCTGAAGTGCTATTAGTGAAGTGAACCCAGTTCCGGCAGTGATCTGACTTACGATCCAGTCCTCGACAGGCCTGTTGAAGATTTCTTTACAGCCGTCCATTTTGCCAAGATCCACTGCATACAAGTCGTCAAAAGTAAACTCGCGGTCCTTCGCCTCGAAAGTGCCGCCGTAGATGTAGAGTACATCATCTTGCACAGCCAATTGGGCATTGAACCGTTGGTGCGGCAGCTCCATCGTAATCGGCATTTCTCTCAGGGGGCTCGCATCCTCATCGGGCTCCTCCTCCTTCTTCTCAATCTCCATGTTGTCGGCATCTGCCAAAGACTTGCCAGTCTCGAGAGCAGCCAGCTGACGGAGGAGTTCCTCCTCTCGATCCTGGGCACGAGCACGACGGCCTCCACGCTGCTCAGCCGGGTTGGACTTCTTTTGCTGACGGGCCTTGCGAAGAGCGAGCGGGAAGAAGCGGTTCCTCTCAATGTTCCACGCAAAAAGCTCCCTGAAAAACTCGCTGTCCATGCCCTCTTCACTATCCTCGACATCGTGTACGCCACCAAACAGGATGCCACGACCCTTGTGCCATGCCATGGTAGCGCCTGCGCGCTTGGGGCTGGGAGCATTGGCAGGCTTCTTGCGCCGTTCCCAGCGAACGACTGGAGGCGCCGTCGGGGGTGATCCCTCAGCCGGCAGAGACATCCTCAGGAAGAAACAGTCATCATGAACCATTGGCTTCAAGATGTTCTTCTGTCCTTGGCTTGAACCCTTGGCCTGCTTGTTGGCTGCCACGGTAGCTTTCACTCTCGAGTAACCTCCGTAGAGAACAGCGCCTTGCTCATGGGGAAGAAGCGTGAAAGAAGACCGGGCATCAGGCTTCAACTGTGCAGGAGGCAGAGTCGGACTGTGCCAGGAGAAGTTTTGTGTATCAAAGATCCACACATCGGCAAGATACTTGGTCTGATTAGACGTATCCTGGAAACCGCCAAACAAGATGATATACTGCTTCCAGTATGTCATGCGGTGGCCACTCCTGGACGGAGGCGTCTTGCCCTTGCACTCAATCTTTGTCCACTCTCTCGTGGCAGGCTCCAGCCGCCAAAAGTCCGAGTAGTGATGGAACGTACCCTGCTTTGGCGACGAGAACTCTCCGCCGAACAAGTAGACATGATTCGGGTTTGATGCTCTCGTCCACGCGTGTCCGGAGCGCGGCAAGGGGGCGTTCGGGGACGTCACGCACCTCCACTCATCCCGGTTGATATAGTAGATGTGCAAGTCGTTGAAGAAGTGAGCCAGCGAGCCATTGAAGTACTCGCCGCCAAAGAGCAGCAAGTTGTTGCTGTCACAGGGCGAGGCCATGATGGTGGAAGCAGAACGGGCCTTGGGCGGTCCCTCGCACACGGTCTCTGTGACTTTGAGGAACTGCTCCTGCTGCTTCCTGTACTCCTCGAGCACTTGCTCAAGGTCAACATCCTCGGCATCGCTCCCCTCGAGCTTTGCAGTCTTGGTCTTCGCCTTCTTCTCGCCCTTGTTGGCCTGCTTCTGCTTCTTTGCAGCCTACTCCATGTCAAGTTAGGCACGGATTCTCTCTCCTGGCTTTGGGGGGCCCTTGAAGACGAGGCAGTGGAACACGTACTAGCTTAGCTGCCTTCTCGTCACCCTTCCCCTTCTTAGCCTTGGCCATTTTGAAGGTGTTGTGCAAAGAGTTGTGATACGTAGGGACGGAAAAGGTCAAATATTGACGTTTGTGACGTCGGCGGGGTGAATGGTGGGATGATGATGGTGGGGTTCATCCTCTTGGGGAAAATTTGAGTCCAGTCACGGAGGGGCAATTTGCATTGGCCGATACAGTCCTCGTCTCTCCGCATCTACTGTGCTCTTCGTCATATTGGAGGCGAGAAACAGTGCGAATTGATAGATAACCTCTGGATGTCCATCCTGCAAGCATTCGAAGCCACAGATCCGGATTTGACGCCAGGAGGTCGACTGATTGTTCATAGTGATTCTCTCGCACGAGGAGATCGATCCATGCAAAATGAATCTTGATGCGGCGTTCACGTTGCCGGCTCAGTGGTAGGTTTAAATGTCGCGTGCTCCCCCTGCCGTTCACCCGATCCCTCGATAATTGACTTGGCACGGGCCGGAAGCTGACTGGTCACTGTCTCTCTGCCCTTCAAGTTGGCGCGCGAATAGCTGGTGATTTTCACATGTTTGAGCTGGTCCAGCCCCACTGAGGCTTTTCGCCAGTGTTGAGGATGGCAAAGGAGCTCTGGCCAAGGTCCCAGGGAGGCGTACGCGAACATGCGAGGTACCTCGTCCGCGTTGTGCTTGTTTCCTTATCCCATAGCTTTGCTCGAGCTAGGCAAGTCTCAGACCAACAGCTCAACAACGCTATGTTCGAGACAGTCGCGTCGATCGTTTTTGAGCATCTAGTGCAAGCCCACTGTCCACGAAGCCTTGTCGAATCCTCTGTGGAAGCTGCTTCATTTCGAAGGCAGTCTGCAGGTCGCTGAGATGGAAGAAATTCTGAATGCCGCTTGATCAACTTGAAGTGACCATCGTACCTTATTCTTGTGAGTAAAAGAGGGTAGTTGTGAGCTTGACAATCACATGTGAATTAGAAGTTGAGTGGTGGTGAGATGGGATTGAGTCTGACCGGGGTGTTTATCGACATATCGAGATTTATGCATATCTCGCATATTATGCGCACTTATGCACAGTTTATGAACAAAGGCCAACTTCTGTGCTCAGGGGGACAGTCGTAGACTGCAGCCGCTTGCCGGCATGCGGACGGGATGCTATCCGTAACGTCATCGTCATTGGCGGCAGCTCCAGGGTGCTAGCTGCTGATGCTCCCACGTCCCTCTCTTATCCGCACCCAGCGTAATGCACCCAACCTGCCCTCGTTTCGCAACATCAGGCTAGCTGCCACCAAGCAACCTTTCCGCCCTCCCTTTGTGCATTCCTTCGCCCGCTCCCTCATAGACTTCGGACCCTGTGCGCCAAAAAGTTTCCGATCATCGCTGGTCAAACCACCGCCCTTACTGAATCAAGCCGTGGGTCTTCGATTAGCAAAGGAGGTCTCCTCCGAGCTCTCAGCCTACGCCCACGCCGCACGCCTGTCCGAGGTCCGGCCCTGCCGCCATCCGACGCCGACGCAACCATGTCTAACTTTGGAGACGGGACCAAGGTGGCTGTCATTTCAGGTAAGAGACAACCTGCTTTATAAACACCTCTGGTCTCCGCATCCTCTCTTTGTACACGTTCCCACGATCTGGACTGCCGATACCGACGTACGAGCCGCCATCATCCAACACACGCCATCATGCCTCGCAAGAAGGGTTCCGCAGCTCGTTCCAAGTCGCCAGCCAAGAGGCAACCTGTCAAGAAATTCAGCAACCCTCAACTCGCGTCGCAGGCAGCTGAGTCTGGGAACAGCAAGATTAACGTTGTAGCAGAAGCTCCAGAGCTTGGGCCACCAGCGTCCACCACCACCGACACGCAGACCCCTGATGATACTGAGAGACCTGCCGCTGAGAGGCAGGAGTCCAATCACGAGTACAGTGCCACTGTAAGTCGACATGAGATTGAGCAGCTGCTTCGGCTTTTGTCTAACCATGGTTTCCTCGATAGGGCCTAGACGATTCCCCGAAAAGCCCAAGCAGAGGCCATGGACGATCTCCATCTGCGGCGAGGAGCAATGGCAGTAAGGTCGAGGAGAATGACAGCAACGGCAATGCTCTGGATCCCGAAAAGAGCTTTGGTAGCGAAGGCACCGCAGACGAGACTCTCGTCGATGGATTTGATGTCGACCGATCGGATTCAACAAGCGTCAAGGGAATGAGTGACGACAACTACCCGCGCCTCACTCTCGCAGCACACGGACGAAGGAACATCCATCGATTTGGATTGAAAGCTGCAGGCATTCGCTTCGCACCCCTCCAGGTCCCCTTCCAGCGGCGGCTCCAGACTGGAGCCGTCCTTTTCCATGGCCTGTCGATCCTCACATTCGTTTCGATCTTCTTCTTCCTCGCGGCAATCCCGTTCACCTGGCCTCTTTTGGTCCCTTACCTCATTCACCTGTCACTCTCTGGCGTTGCCTCCAATGGCAACCTGAAGCTCCGCTCCGAATGGCTACGATCGCTTCCGATTTGGAAGTTCTTCGCCGAGTACTACCCTGCCGAGCTTCACAAGACCCACGATCTTCCACCGACGAGGAAGTACATTTTCGGCTATCACCCTCATGGAATCATCTCACACGGCGCTTTCGCGGCATTCGCAACCAATGCCCTCGGATTCGCCCAGAAGTTTCCCGGGATCACCAACTCACTGTTGACGCTCGACAACAACTTCCGCATCCCCTTTTACCGCGACTACATCCTGTTCATGGGCGTCCGATCTGTGTCTAAGGAGTCGATCTGGAACACCTTGAGCAAGGGCGGAGCCAACGGTGAGGGAATGGGACGGGCTGTTACCATCGTTGTGGGCGGTGCAAGAGAGTCGCTCGAGGCACAACCTGGAACTCTCAGGTTAATTCTGAAGGGACGCAAGGGCTTCATCAAAATGGCCCTGCGGACTGGAGCTGACCTTGTGCCCGTTCTGGGTTTCGGCGAGAACGACCTCTACGACCAACTCAGTCCGAAGACCCATCCTTGGGTGCACAACTTTCAAATGTTTGTGCTTCGCGTCTTCAAGTTCACTCTCCCGGCTCTCCATGGCCGGGGAATCCTCAACTACGATGTTGGTATGATGCCGTATCGCAGACCGCTTAACATCGTGGTTGGCAAGCCTATCAAGGTCACCACTTCGCCCACAGCACAACCTACCCAGGAAGATATTGACCGGCTACACGAATTGTACATGGCTGAACTTCAGAAGATCTGGGACACTTACAAAGACCAATTCGTGCCTGAGCGCAAGGCCGAGCTTCAATTCATTGCCTAAAGTACCTTAGCATAGCACCTGCTACAAGAGGTGGCTTCTCCTGGTTTCCTTACACATCTCCTTTGAGCTTAGTACTCAGTTCTTGTCTTACACAAAACAAAACACGGCAGCGGCGGTTGAATTTGGCGCCTGGATATTCGGGTGGAAAAAGGGAAGCAAAGTACACTGGGCATCGGGATGGCTAGGCATGGTTATAGCAGACATTCCGGTATTCAATTGAAAGCTGATTAAAATCCAAACTACTGGTAGTCGTCTGAAATACCGATACGATTTGGCTATTTTGTGTGCTCTACCTCGGCCCGACCGCGAGATTTAATTGAAGTAAGGTAAAGCACGGTACCGTCAGGTATCCTAGCAGGAAGGTAGAGCACAGACTTTACAGCTGCATGCTCAATTGCACATTAAAGTCACCTGACACCGCGCATGTATGACGCGGACCTCGACGCGTGCTAATCACCGACCCGCCGACGACGAGTCTTTGCTTTTTGATAGTCTCGATTTCTACTCCCGCAATCGCTTCCTCTTCCTTTCAATCTTTTGAGAATTGTTTTTTCTTAACATCAATCTCTTTGCGAAAGACCATCCATCTCGGCGCAAATTGAGAAGACGAGAAAAAACCATGCCTCCCCGCACTTCTGCACGCAGAAAGGCGCAAGCAGTCGTCGAGACCAAGGTCGAAGAGACAAACACCACGAAGACGAACGGAGCCAAGAGCACGGCTGTTGCTGCTACGAAGACGAAGACCATCACCGCAAAGAAGCCAGCGGCAAAGCGCAAGGTCTCTTCGGACGACGAGCACGAGGCCTGCGGAAGTTGCGCCGAGGAAGAGGAAGAGAAGCCCGCGAAGAAGAGGAAGACTGCAGCAGCGAAGGGCAAGGCGAAGAAGGAGGACGATATGCCGTTGGCAGACAGGACAGCGGTGTCTTCCCTCAAGAGGGCGATGTACATTGGCGCTCATGTCAGCGGTGCTGGCGGTTCGTGGTTGCGACTCCCTCTTCTCGAACCTGTGCGCTGACAAAAGCATCACAGGTGTACAAAACTCGATTCAGAATGCCGTCAACATCGGTGCCAATGCTTTCGCCCTGTTTCTCAAGTCACAGAGGAAATGGGAGAGCCCTCCCCTGGCAGCCGACGCAAAAGACCAATTCGTCTCCCTCGCAAAGGAAAATGATTACGATGCCGGCGCACATGTCCTCCCCCATGGCTCATACCTCGTCAACCTCGCCCAGGCGGACGCCGACAAGGCGAAGCAGGCATACAAGAGCTTCATAGATGACTTGCAACGGTGCGAGCAGCTGGGCATCAAGCTGTACAACTTCCACCCGGGCAACACGGGAGGAGAGGCTCGCGAGGAGGCGTGCGGACGTATCGCCACACAGCTCAATACCGCGCACAAGGCGACGAAGAAGGTGATTACCGTGTTGGAAAATATGGCAGGGACCGGGAACGTCATTGGCACAAAGTTTGAGGACTTGAAGCAAATCATTGACAAGGTCGAGGATAAGGAGCGAGTCGGCGTATGTATTGACACATGCCATGCATTTGCTGCGGGATACGACTTACGGACGCCGGAAACATTCCACGAGACGATGAAGGAGTTTGACGATGTTATTGGTAACAAGTACCTCAAGGCTTTCCATCGTAAGTGCAAACCCCCTTGTCCAAGTTTCTCGCGCTTTAGATGGCCAATACTGACACCACAAAGTCAACGATAGCAAGGCACCCTTCGCCTCCCACCGCGACCTCCACGCCAACATCGGCACAGGCTTCCTCGGCCTCCGCGCCTTCCACACCCTCGTCAACTACGAGCCCTTCCAGAACCTCCCCATGGTCCTCGAGACGCCCATCGACCACAAGGACGCAAACGGTAAGACCGTCGAAGACAAGAAGGTGTGGGCGGACGAGATCAAGCTCCTTGAGAGCATGATTGGCATGGACGCCGAGAGCGAAGAGTTCAAGACGCTCGAGGCGGAGCTGCAGAAGAAGGGCGCGGGAGAGAGGGACAAGATACAGGACCAGGTCGATCGCAAGGCCGAGAAGGATGCCAAGAAGGGGACCAAGGGGGCCAAGGGTGCCGCGAAGAAGGGCGCGGCGGCTGGAAAGGGTAGGAAGAAGAAGGTTGAGAGTGATGATGAGAGCGAGTGAGAAGACTGAACTGGCTTGAATGTCTGGACTGTGTATCAATATGTACCTCATGAACCCCATGGATAGATAGCTGAGTACTTTACGTGCAAACTCCAATTATAAATTCGGACCAACAACTGAGAGACGACATAGTTCAGTGACAGACTTGATGCCTCTGAGACTTATGTGACACTCCAGGACATCTAGGAGCTTCTGTAATGAGGCGTCTCAACGACCTTGCTACCCTGCCAATCCCGTCTGTTGAATTAGGCACTAAGTAAGCACTTCATGTATCCACCGAAACCTCAGGCTCGAGGAGGCTTTTCATCTGATCACGACACCAAGCCCATATAGGTCCCCCCAGCTCCATTCCAGTCACCAGCCAGCAGGCGCCCTCTAGGTCGGGGGTCAGGTCAAACTGGCTGGATGGTGGAGTGGTTTAAGGTCAACAATCAACGCCAACCAGTCTACTCGACGACAGGCTTAGCAAGTACCCGAGTTCGAATCCCAGCATGAGCACCAGAGATGTAGCCCCCAGTTCAGCACCGGGGGGGTGAACTCTTTTTTGGTTTGTGTGTGTACATTAGACAGACTCTATTGTGAGTACTCTTGTGTTCCAAGTCTAAGAGAAAGACGCAAAAAAGACCGCACCAGTGGTATAGGTAGTTAGTTCAAAGTAAACAATCTCCTTCCCCCTCTATTTGAGCCCGGAACGCCCCCCGCGCCTTCCTTCTTCGTCAAATCAGACACGAAGATATATATGCCTTTCCCTTTCCTCACCTCCTGCCCTTGGCAAAAGCTTCAACCTTGCCAACAAGACTCTTCAACCCCACACCCCTCTCACAGTTGCCCTCCAACCAAGCCTCCATCTTCTCCCTCACACCACGCATGCTCTTGAGAACCGGCATGCGAGCACCCTCCTCCGCGGCGACAAACGAGCCAGGGTTAAGCAACAGATCGAAACACTCTGACCAGATCTCCGTCTGCCAGTACCGCTTCAGGCTCTCGCGGACACGGTACTTGCGCCCGCCTGCCCCGATCCCACCCTGGTCGCAGCGGACCGTGTCAATGTACTTGCCAAACAACAAGCAGTGAACGATGCCTGCGAGACCGTGGTAGTCAATCTGCCACGTCCACGGCCGACCCTCGCGCATCTCGGCGCAGTCCTGCGCACTCGTCTTCCAATCCGCGATGAAGCCCACGTCGGGCGCAAAGTTGCGCATGTCGATGCCGCGGCCGAAATCGATGAGGGTTACGCCCCGCGCGTCCCAGCCGTCCGCGCCGGTGGCACTGTATTGCGTTGACAGGGGTTGGTCGTTGCCGCCGTGGTCGAGGCGGAGAAGGCAGTTGTCGACTTTGAGGTCGCCGTGGAGGACGCCACGGGCGTGCAGGGCTTCCACGGTGCGGAAGAGCTCAATGGTGAAGAACATGACTAGCTGCTCGTCCATGACGGCAGAGGGCTCGGCACGGAAGAAGTTGACGACGTCGAGGACGCTGCCGTGAGGGTGGTAGGGGAGGAAGAGGAGACCCTCATCCTGGTAGAGGTGGAACTCGTGGGCATACGAGACGGAGGCGGCTGCGCGGTGCTGAGGCCCCAGGCGCGTATGGGCGAGACGCATCATGTGGAACTCCCAGGGCGTTGGGGGAAGTTCCATCTTGAGTGCTTCCAGGGGGCTGCGATGATTGACGGCAAATGCGCCCTTGCCCATGGCCACGACCCCGTTCTCGTCCTCGTCCTCATGGTCTGCGTCTGGGTTCTCGACAAGATAGACCGGAGCAAAAGCGCCAGCACCGAGCTCTTTCCTGATAGTGTACTCTGTAGCAATATCTGGAAACTCGATTGTGACCATGGCACAGGCATTGCTCACTCTGTCTCCGCCCTTGGCTGCCTTCGTCATGGCCTTGGCGAATTTGCGGATCTCGTTGCCCTTTTCGTACTTCTCGTGGCTATGGTCGTAGAATCCAGGGTATGAGTCCAGCGAAGGATGCATGTTGGCCAAAATTTCGTTTCTCACAGCTTCATCCACTGGATTGCATTGCAACTCCTTGATGATCGGTCCCTTGAGAGGTGCTGGCTTTGACGGAGCAGACTTTGCCTTGCCGAGAAGAGGCTGGGCAATCTTAATAGGTCGAACTTCGCTCAAGACTTCCCTCAATGGACTGCTACCCGGCTCTTCCATGTCAGAGTCCTCCTCATGGATAGTTGACTCATACTCCTCACGAGACGGAGTCTCGTACCTCGCCTTCCGTTCTGTAAACGCAAGAGAAGATTCGGTTCTCTCCGTAATTGGGGTCATGAAGGGGAGACGGTTATTGGCCATCTCGACCGGGTCCCTAAACGGTCGTGTCCTGGGCTCATAATCCTCTGGCGGAATCGGAACGAAAATCGTCTTCGTTCTTGGCGGGTAATCCTCATCATCTTCCCCTTCTTCTTCAGCCTCCTGCTCATCACCTGATTCTCTGCCATCCTGGGAGGCGGTCTGCTCATCTGGTAGAGGGCCAGTACGTTCAGAGTAATTTGGATCCATCAAATCGGAAGGCTGGGTCTCATCTATACCGGCTTGGGTCGCGTCCTCGTCGAGAACTGGGACGTGCTTGCGTGTGGAGAAGTCAGACCATTCACTGATACTCTTGACATCCGAGCCGTCTTCATCAGCTTCATCGGCGGCGTTATCGTTCTCAATCAGGCGAGTAGTCATGGTGTTTTCAACCTCAGTGTAGTCGCCATCTGTCTCGTAGTCGTCGTCCTCGTCGCTATCTTCCTCTTCCTCTTCTTCCTCCTCCTCATCATCATCCAGAGGGTTGGACTGGATGGGTTGGTTGAAAATCTCGTAGATCTCATCCGTAGCAGCCCGAGTGTGGAGTGTCATTGTCGGCTCAGCCGTATTCCTCTTCTTCAGCTTTGGCCTGGACGGCGAGTCCAAGTTTGCTTTTACTATAATATTGTCAGCTTGAATACGTCGTAGCTTGTTGAAATGGAAGCTCCTTACTGATTTGAGTCTCGTTCACCTCCATCGTCTTCTTCTTCTTGCTCTTGCCTCCCTTCTTTTTGACTATGGCTCCATTCTCATCCATTACGACAGTTTCTGTATGGACAACCAATTTCTCCTGTACCAGGTGGCTGAGATCGTCAACCATGGAAGGCTCGGCGCTCATCATCTCGGAAGGGACTTCTTCGGTTAGTGACACGTCATCCCAGGAGACATCCAGCCAGCCTCGGGTCATGGCCCAGACTTCCTCAAAACCAAGCTCAGAGCCAGGCTCTTCAGGAGTGGGATAGAGGGCCTCGAGGCTGACAAAGATGCGCTCCTTCTTCCCGCTTACGGGGTTCACTACTGTTTGATTCTTCGACGGCACGAGTGTAATATGGGACTTAGACATTTGCGCTCGTGATGACCGTGATTGGGCTTTGGGTTGCATTTTTGACTGCAACTGAGACTGAAATACATGAAACGCCATAAAGCCAAACATTAGTCCTATAATCATCAACATCCAGGCATTGGGAAGTTCAAGTAAAATGGTGCTTACCGTATCCTTGAAGATAGCCATCTTCGGAGCAGTGCTCTTCTTCCCGCCAGCCTTCAATGTCTCTCCTGCCCACGGCTTGGGTTCCATCACATTCTCCTTCTTGCGGTCACCTAAGGAGCCGATTGAATCCCAACCCTTTGAACTCGGTCCACGTGACGACAATGCTGGGGGCGCCGAGTTGGCATCTGAGAAGATGGACATCTTAGCCTTGCCAGGCTTCGCCGCTGTTGTGCTCACGCCCTGGCTGGGGCGAGGGGCCTGGGGGTCTGCAGCGACTGCAGCTGCAGCACGGGCAGCGGCAAAGGGATCAATCTTTGCAGCCAAAGCGGGCCGCACGGTGGGAAGTGCTGGTGAAGAGGGCTCGTTGTCTGCCTCGGGCTGGTGGGCGAGTCTCTCCTCGAACTCCTTGAACTTGCGAATCAGACGCTGGACCGGTCTTGCCTCGCGCTCAATTCCGAGCTTGTACACCTCCTCTGCTTGGCTCCATCTGCCAGCGCCCTCAAGCCAGGCAGCATACTCTTCGTAGAAAAGGGCGAGTGTCTCTCCGATGTTGTGTCGCGACAGGAAGAGGAAGGTCTCGCGCGGCGAGTCGGAGAAGAACTGGATGTACAGAACCCAGATCTTGAGGTATCTGGGATCATTCTTGTATTGTGATGATCCGATGAAGGTCTTGGTTGCGCGCTCGAGGAGCGTGTGAAGCTGGGACTGTGGCGTGGCTTGCGCCGAGGGGTAGGCGTCCAGGGTCCATCGCACGTAACGGTCGAAGATGTCTAGAGGATCGTCCGACTCTGAGATGTTCTGAAGTTCCTCTTCGTACTCGACTCGAATGCAGTCGTTTACATTTTTGGTGTCTGAGGGTGTCGGGGTGTTTAGTTTGTGCAGGGGCGACGGCGAGAACAGCTCGGCCAACTTTTTAGCGGAGCGTCCACTGGGCAGCGCCTGGATGTTTTCTTTCTGCGCTTCGATAACGTCAAAGTTTATGAGATCGTCGGAGGCTGCCATGGTTAGTATCGTCGCGGCAAGTTGCCGTCGCGTCTCCAAGTGATGCGGTGCTGGGGTGCTGCGTCTGGGTTGTCGATGTCTGAGTTGGGAATGGGGGGCAGCGTTACCTAGAAAAGGAAGCCCAGTGTTGTGGTGTTGATTATTGATAACGATAACAGATCGCCCATGTAGGTCGGGTCGCACGTTGCTGGGACAACACGCTTCTTCGCTCGAGCTTATGTAATGACATTTCCTTCACCGAGCTCGGTGTGCTCACATCGTCATTTTCCCTTGTTCAACGGCACTTACCAAGGTAGGAAGTAGCAGTACACCTCCTTCCCTTTATGTTACCTCCAAGTAGTAATCCCACGTCATCTTCTTCATCACAAAGAGAATTTGCGAATTTCAGAATGACAAAAGATTTTAGCGTCGAAAAACCTCAGTCCTCCGTTTGGCCTCTTCTAGCGCTCGGTCCGTCTGATCTTAGTGGCCGGTTCTGCCCATGTGCCCCTATCTTGTCCAACCTCTTCGACTCCAGAAGTCAAAAATCAGAATGACGCCACCCCAATCACTCCTTTTTTTCTGGCAAGTTCACATTACAGATTGATCTTGCTTGTCGCGACACGGCGGTTTTATTCCATGTTTTCCACCTGTTGTACGGTGACCACAACTTCAGAACCCTCAAAGAGCCCTAAGTGTTGTAGAGGGGCTTCATTATGGATCACTCAACGCTGGTGACTTCGGGGTCAAGTCTGACGTCCAAAAAACGCCTGCTGGACCTTCCCAACGAGCTAATTTGTTGCGTCGTCGACTCCGTCGCACTTTTGAGGGAAGACAGATACGATGATTCCAGAAATACTCAGACCTTGTCGAATCTTTCACAAACCTGTCAAATATTCCATCTTCTCTGCAATTCTCAACTCTTTTCCAACATCAACTTGGATGAGTCCAAAGACGCCGCTGGTCTTTTGATCCGTTCCCTTATCGAAGCACCTGAACTTGGGGTTCACGTGCAGCGTCTGACGCTACGCGTCATATGGGAATCAGCAGAGCAATGCGAGAAGGGATTACGGAAACGGCTTACACATACCCAGAGAAATGCGACACATCATCGGGGAACTTTGCCAAATTTGCGGCACTTGGAATTGGAAGATCCTGCAGTGTACTTCATGAACATTCCCGAGGTTCCTCGCATATTCACTGGTCTTCTTGCGCTACCTCCTCTCACATCGATTCTTACACGATACGACAATGATCGATGGGGAGGTCTTGCTCAAGTCGCCTCAGCTGGACCTTTCGCCTTGGAACAAATCCGCTTTCACGAAACTGCCATCCGGGGACCCGAATTATGCCGCTTACTGCAGCTTTGCCCCGGTCTTCGAGTTCTCGAAATCGAGATCGACTATCACTTTTTCGCTCCTTGTTTCCAGCCGGCCACACACCCTGGTATCACGACCCACCTGTCCACGACGCTCTCAACACTCTGTCCGCGCTTGCAGAGACTTACGCTGCTACATGGGGACCTCTCAGCTCTTCGGCCCCCTGATGACCCATGTCTCACATGTCTTACGGATTTGGAAGATCTCACTGTGTTGGAGACTGAGCTGCCAACGATATTCCGAAGTCCCGAAGACATGGCAAATGCAGACATCACTGCTCGTCTGCCTGCCAAGCTCACGCAACTGACCCTACACGATATCTGGTACTCGGATCCAAGGTACTGTCTGTACTCTTTGGCCCCAGGCTCTCGTCCCTGGATCCATGAGAGATTGGATGCCAGCACTGAACCTCTGACTGCAATGCTACTCCGTCTGGCGTCGTCATGTTTGGCCGGCCAACTGTCTGGTCTCCGAAAGGTGGCCGTGAAGACTCCCACTTACGAACACGACAGAGGCAGTACTTGTGACAAAATTGTAGAAGCATTTGCGAAGACTGGAGTTTTGTTCGAGCTGATATCCGCTCACTCAACATTTCCATGTCCATTAACGCGGTAACATCAGAGAATGGCTGTCAAGACGTTAAATTGCGTAAGTCTTGAGTTAATTTTAGTATGACTTAGCTGCAAATTGTAATTAAGTGAAGTCCATACTTCAATACCATTACGTTTTCCTTGAAGGAATTCTAGTGATCTATTCAATGTTTCATGTTTTACTACCGCATGCTGGGCATCTACCTATAATTGAAAGCTTACTTTGACTACAGAAAGTTCTCAAATCCGTGATGTTGATAGAATTGGCTTGGCCGTGAATGAGGCATTTCGTTGAGGCGTTTTCTTCTCCTTTACTTAGCTCGGTTACTGTTGGTATCCCTATCACAGGGAAGTTGGTTCGAACCGTAGGGTCCTGGGGGTGACGAAGTATCAATATCTCTGTATTGATTGATTCTGCGTAATGTGTAAAAGGGAGATTCCAACCGTAGGTTGGTTGGGTAGTCGCGGTCTAATTGTACCACCTCGAGGTGGTCCATGCTCTTGCCCTTATCCGCGGTCGAATTGGACTTCCAATCCGACAACCACCGAGGTATGCTTCACCAGCACTCACATGCGGCTATCAATGGGTTTTGCCAAAAGTCATCGAGACTGATACCTAAATTTGATCAATGCAGGACGTAGACTTCATTATCAACATCGACAGCGCCCCTCATGGGATTAAACAAAGATTACTGTCTCTTCCAAACTCTCCGTTCATTCAGCAGGCACAGTTCTTCTATTACAAGCAGGGAACAACTTTGGTGCAAGTTGATATCACTCCCGGATGGCAGGTCAGTTTAAGCCTTAACTTAGTGGCACGCTAGCTCCAGTCTCTGACATCCACCTTATAGTCCCCTTATATGCCGACTGCGGCCACGGAAATCAGGAGAATACCTCATGGTTATGTTCCCTACATATCACCCACAGACCTCATTGTTTTTGTCACGAATCAGCATATAGAGTAGCTCATGGAAATCGGGATCTCAACTGTGGTCTAATCAACTATGGAAAAGGGGAAAAGGGAAGCCCTCGAGGGAGCCCCTTTTGTATGCCCATACCCCTGTCTACCCCTTATCTCTACCCCTGAGATATCCACTGCTATACCTCTTTCGTGACAGTTTTCAAGATCAACTCTTGCGGCTTGCGGGCGCAGGTGAACAAGAAACGTGTTGATGCTTTGGATGCGGTGACGCTGCTAGAACTCGAGACTAGGAACGGGCCGTTGACTCTCAACAGTGCCCAAAGAGCCGTCGTTGAGCAATGCATCGCAGACGTCGTGACCCATGGCCCTAAAAACGATCAATGGTGGAAGCAGCGTCTCGGTCTTCGCTGATCTAGATTCCGGGCTCCTGTACAACACACGGCATGATCATCGCAGGGTGTTTGCTATTTAGTTGTAGTAGTAGTAGTAGTAGTGGTGGTGTTTTACGTCATCAGGGACAGGTGCCCAGCTATCTATGTAACTAAGCTCCGATCAACCAGAGCGCCCTTTGGGCATATGATGTGCCGTGCCGCCATTATAGCATACGACAAGTCAGGCAGTCTATAATATACACTTTTCTTCTCATGCCTAGAGCAGAAACCCTACCCTCATAGGCGTAGTTATCCACAAGAGCATTTTTACGTTTTCCTATACTAAATAGAGGAGTAAGAGAGAGGGGTATGGTAAGGCCGTGGCCTAAAGAGCATCGGTGAGTAATAAAGCGCGGGTCTCGGGCTCGCTATCTTTGCAGAGAGTAAGCCTCGTAATAACGCGTTATATACTCAAACTTCTCAAACGCTCCCGGGTCTCTAACTAGGGCGTACCAATAGGCTTCGGCCGGGCCCTTCGGGGGCGGTAATAGTCCTGGATCGTCCGCGGTCCCGGTAATCGGCCATAGTACTTATATACGTCGGTTCTTTAGGCAGTATACTAGATAGTTAGGCGATAGTTTCCGCCCGCATTTACATTTAAAGTCTCCGTCGTACTGAAAGCGCCTGTGGTAGTCGTGGAAATGGCCATAGCCAAGGCAAGCAGCGAGGAGGTAGTATAAAAGAGGACGCCGTAGGTCCAATTCCGGAGGGCAACAAAGAGCAGCGTCAGTTTTCTTATAGCCTGGTTTAAGCTTTTACTTTGAAGTATACCACCATCGTGAATAATGGCCACGGGCTCTAGCGCAGGCCATCTTCGTTATCCCAGCATATAATGCTAGCGGTAGAGGGTCAGGTAATAGGAGAGCGGCTCCTTCTTTAGCAAGCTTATCAGCTAATTCGTTTCCAAGGATCCCGGTATATCCGGGCGACCAGTAGCATTTTATATCCCTTGCCCGCTAGGCGTCGAGTATCTCAAGCATAGCCGCCTACGAGCTGGCGGGAGATCGTCCAAAACCCAAGATAAAGTTAAGAACGCCAGTATTATCAAGGCAAAGATGGATTATAGTAGGGGAGGTAGCAGCTAGGTTCAGTGCTCACCGTAGGCCCAGACGTGCCCCCTCAGCCTCGGCATCGAAGACTTCAGTGTATTCGCCGAGGCGGCCTCGGCCTTCCGCGATGACCTTGGGCCCACGGAATATCGCATATCCGTATCCTACAGCGCCTTCATACAGCATGGACCCGTCGGAGTAGACCACTAGATCGGAGCGTTCGAGCCCCTTAATAATTTTCAGAAATGCAGCAGTGGCCTTCTCTTAATCTCTTTAGAGTCTCGCTAGGGCGCGGGGGGGTTCGGGACGACCAACGCCGGCCGAGGGCATAGGGGTAATAACGCATAGGTATGCTGAAGACGTATGTCCCGTCCGAGGCGTCCAGGGGTGCGTTCCTCTAACCTGGGGACCAGCGGGTGTTGGGGGTCCAGTCGGCGCAGCCTTACGGCAAAGCGTAATCTGACCCCTTCCAGAGCGGTAACGGCGGCGGGAAGCCCTGACTCCTTCAGCAGGAGGTCGGCGGGCGTGGTACACCAGACCGGGAGCACGGCCCGGGCAGCAGCGACAATGGTTTTATAAATAGTAGTAAAGTGACCCTTTTGGCCAGTGTTCACGGAGGGGTTGCGGAGGGTGGCGTACATCTTCGAGAGTTATGGGAGCGCAGCCGGCTTAGTACAGCCCGAGAACCATACGGCGACCCTCCTCGCGGCGGCGGCCCGGTGGCCAACGTGGGTTTGGAAGGAAAGCGTACGATCGAACCAGACGCCTAGCCAGCGCACAGCTTTCGTTGGAGCTACGGGCGTGATTATAAGCCCAGTAACATAGATAGCAGGCCATTCGCTTGGCCTATTCTTACGGTGTTTACGCATAAAGTGTACCTCTTCACACTTAGCTAGTGTTGGGCAGCGATTATCAGGTAGGGGGTCAATGGGATGTATTGATGAGTATGAAGAACGAGTGGCTATGGGAATATCCCGACTATCTATATAGTGAGTGGAAGACCCTTTATACTGGCATATCCTTGGCAAACTTAGTCATGCTTGTGTAAGACCATATTGTTTCATAGGCATAGTGTGACAATCGTTGTAACGAGTGTACTGGGATGGGCCTGACAGCTAGATCAAAGGTAACTTTATTTTCAGCACCCCATTTAAGCATAAAGCTAACTTCGCCACCTAGTATCCGAGCGTTCTCTTCTAGCGTAGGAGAGATCACGAGGAGTCCTACATCATCGGCATACCCAAAGGGGCACCTAGGATTATCTAGGAGCGCGTCTACTAGGTAGAGGATATAGAGGACTAGGGACGTAGGGTAGCCCTGTGGGAGGCCGCAGCGTAGGGGAAAGCCCTCCGAGAGTCTCTTGTCCATTCTGATAATAGCCGCGCGTTGGGTCATAAAGGACCTTACAAAGCGGATAAATACCTCTGGCCAGCCCTGTTGGCGAAGCTGGAGTATAAGTCTATTTCGAAGTGTGGCCTCAAAAGCCCAATTAGCGTCCATTGTGACTATCGTCGCAGTGAGGCCGCTTTCCAGTGCTATTTAGTTGCTGCCTATGTATTTATCCTAGATTTCTTTGACGCCATAATAGTGTGTTGCCTGCGGCATAGACGCATTGTATTCAACTCCTGAGATTCTTTGATCATATCTCAATGACTTTATTCTCATCGAATGCTGCTGCCTGCGCGAAGTAATATCCTCGCTGATTAGCAATTAGCCTCACGGGCTCTGCGTCGCCTTCCCTCTCAACGCTGAAATCACAGTTGTAGTGCGTGTGACCAAATGCCCAGATTTTGACTCTGGCGCTTTTGAAGCAGTCCTCCTTTGACAAATCCGTGGCAAAACCGCTGGTGATTGGGCTCTGTGCATGCCTTGGATCAGATGCGCGTGCATCTCTCGTCGGACTCCAGTGTGAAAAGATGATGATTCTGACCTCAGACTTCTCGAGCTCTGCGACTTGGGAATTGAGCCAAGAAAGATCTCGATTGTGGGCTTCGTTATGCGTGCTGATTTCCCAATCATCAATCTGGAAGAAGTCCTGGAGTCCCATGCTGACCGAATCGGCGCTTTCAGGGAACAAACGGCAATCGCTAGGTATACACGGAGCCGAGCTATGTCACGTGTCTTCGGCACGTGACACACCTCAGCTCCCTCCTTCCATATCACGAGCCTTCGCGTTTAGATACTCTCCTTAACAACAATAAGGAGCGCGGATCATCTCCTGCAACATACCTCGAAAGGTACCCACTGTTAGTAATTGTTAAGGTTATAGAGGGCTACGGCCCACTGCACTATCATCTCTCAACATCAGCCCATACGAGCTGAATTCCACGACCATGGCGGTCTCCCTAGATGTAGGGCCATCGATCACGGTTCACGGGGACGCCGGTATATCTCGGCGGTCGGGACGAGTCCGGAAGCCGACTGCAAAGGTCAGAGTGGTTGAGCAGGTTAACCATCAGGACAACTCTGAGCTTAAAGACGAGATCAACAAGCTTTCGAATCTTGTCCAGGACCTCCTGCGTCGGGACGCCGAGAGGGAACAGTTTTTGAAAGACTGTTTGACGAAGATCGAATCCTTGGAGAGAGAGCTTCAGGAGGAGAAACAGCGTTCAAACCGGCATCAACGTGGTCTAGCAAGGTCTATGCACGCTATTGGCACAGGGCCTAGCGAGACTGACCTGAGTTCCCAGGGGCATCCCTCGCACACAACCCAGAACCAGCCGCCCCCAGTCCGTTCATACGCGGCGGCGGCGAGCCAGCCACTGTCCAGAAGACAGGATGAACCAACGCCAGCCAAACAAGGCGCAAAACAAGCTACAAACCGGGCGGCCTTAAAGGATCTACGCGTCTTCGCGCGTCTATCGCCTGAAAGCCCGCTTCGGAACGAGAAAGCCTACGACATATACATCTTCGTTCGGGAAAGGCTAAGTCCCCAAGCCCGAGAAGCCCTCAAGGGGATCGACCATGTCAAGACAGGATTAGCACTCCTACCTTCGTCAATGGATGGTGCAAAAGTCCTGCTAGAGAACAGAGAACAGATCGCTGCCCTTCTCCAAGCGCAAGCGATCGAGCAACGCGATACCTGGATCCGAGCCTATATCGCAAACGTCCCTTACACCAGGCATTGTCTGGTAACCAACACTGAGCTGGAAATCACGACCGAGGAGCTCCTTGAAGAGATCCAGGTCTCGACGAAACTCAAGCCTGAAAAAGCACACTTCTCTAGGAAGGACGAAGTCGAAAGGCTAGGCACGGTGACAGCCTGGTTCAAGGCGGAAGCCGTAAGGCAACTACCAAGACGCCTCCGTTTGATGGGGGCCAGCGTTTTTGTAAACCTGCAGTTCCCGAAGGAGAAGAGGTCTCCTCAATGTCTCCGCTGCGGCGGTTTTCACAACGAACGAACGTGCACCAGAAGGAAGAGATGCCTCAAGTGCAGCTCTCCTTCCCACACAACTGATCAACACCGGGCACCCTGCGGCGGTACTGAGGGTCACGATGGCTGCGACTGCCCCTTTAAATGCCCGTCGTGTAACGGGCCTCACGCCGCCTTCGATGCGACTTGCCCTATCCAACCCAAAGTGGTGAAGGGGGTAGTCCAGAGGAGGGATAAGGCTCAGCTACGGGCCATCTGAGCTGAGGGAGAAAGATTATGGAGAAATGCGACCCAGCAGTCGCATCGATATTCCCGTGAAGAAGAACAAGCGATGGACTGTACCCCGGCGAATGAGACACAAAAGAAGAATACAGCCCTCTAAAACCCTGCAAATTATGCAAGCGAATGTGGGCAGGCGGGCATCCGCCCACGAAACAGCACTGAACCTGGCTTACGCAGCCCAGATCGATATACTCCTAATACAAGAGCCGTCTATCCGTTCGGAGGAGAGGAGGCTCACAAGACACCACCCAGGTTTTGAGACTTTCACCCCAGTAGATAACTGGACCGAAGACCGTCCCAGGGTACTTACCTACCTCCGCAGAGGAACTGGGGTACGAGGCGTACAAACACGGCCTCTACCCGATCCATCCACAGACCTGCTCTTCTTACGACTCCTCTCAGGAACGAAGGAGGTCCTCACAGTCATCAACGTATACAACGCCCCTCTTGGCTCTCTGCGACCTGGCCAGGCTCTCAGGAACATCCTAGCGGCCTGGCAACCCAAACCTGAGGATCGAGTACTGATTGCGGGGGATTTTAACTTACACCATTGGACGTGGCAGCCCGAGGCCACGAGTTCCCCGGACGCTGAAAACCTAGTAGAATGGGCAGAAGCCGCTAGCCTTGTCCTAATGTCACCTATAGGTGAACCCACGCACAAAGGCGGCAACACCCTAGATTTATGCTGGGCGTCCAGCAACCTCCATGGGGCTTCCACCAGCATAGAAACGTCACTACACACGACATCAGACCACGAATCTCTGCTTACCCGGGTCCCCTTGGCCCTGATCGATTCACCCAGCCAGACCCCGGGAAGGTTTCGGCTCGACACGATGGACGAGGAGCTTTTCCTCGGCATCATTAAACGCAACTTACAACCCATGCGCCGCACTGCAAGCAACATCCAAGACCCACAGTCTTTAGATCTCCTAGCACAACAGCTTACGGACTGTCTTATTAAAGCACTTACGGCTTCCACAAAGCGCACGCTCGGGAAAGGTACAGGGAGACCATACTGGAGCGAGAGCTGCACACGTAAACACCGAGCCTATGCGAGTAAGCGAGCGATGTTAGCAAGACTCCGCGCAGCCGGAGTGAACTGCCAATGGGAAGAAGAGGAGGTCGAAGCTCTAAAACAGGACTTCCTCTACGAGTTTAAACGCTCCAAGGATGCCTTTTGGAAAGACAAGATCTCCTCAGCCTCCTCAAGCAAAGACATATTTGAAATGGTCGGTTGGCACAAAGCCACAGGATCCTTTCAGACCCCGCCACTCCGAGATGTAGACAACCAAGACACGCTTGTCTCACAACCAAAAGAGAAGCGCGACTTATTTACCCGCGTCCTCCTTAGAAACGCTGCAATCTCCGAGGACATACCAACAGAAAGCCCAGTCCTACAAAGGCAAGCTACGCTTCCTTTCCCGCAGGTTACGAAGGACGAGGTACGGTCTTCGGTTCTCACCGCGGGAAACACGACTCCTGGGACCGACGGAATCACTACGACTGCTTTGAAAATAGCATGGCCAGTTATTGAGGATATTGTCCTCTCACTTTATAGCGGGTGTATACGCGAGGGTTGGCATCCTACTTGTTTTAAAGAAGCAACTCTCGTGATCCTAGCAAAACCGGGAAAAAGAGACAAGACACTCCCGCGCTCCTATAGGCCAATTGCGCTCTTGGCCGTCCTCAGAAAAGGCTTGGAGAGACTCATCGCCAGACGACTTGCCTGGATCGTAGTTAAATATCGTGTTCTGCACGATCAACAGTTTGGAGCACTCCCTCTTCGCTCTTGCAGCGACCTCATCGCAGCGGCCATCCACGACATCGAGTGCGCCTGGCAAAGAGGCCTGGTTACCTCTATGCTTACGCTCGATATAAAAGGGGCTTTCGACGCCGTGCTCCCAGGACGACTAGTCCGACGCCTCTGCGAACAAGGATGGCCGGAGAACCTCGTACGCTGGGTCTCAAGTTTTGTTACCGGAAGGAGAGCAAGAATAAGGCTTGATGGGGAGGTAGGAGACGTCTTCGGTCTCGAATGCGGACTACCACAAGGCTCACCCGTGTCTCCCATTCTATTCATGCTCTATATTAAACCTCTTTTCAAGCTAGGCATAGCTCGCCTAGGAAGGAAGCGATCTCGTTTTCGGCTACGCCGATGACGTCCGCT